CTCTAGCACCAACCCATCAAGTCTTGAAAAATAATGCTAAAAATCATATAATAATGTTAGAAGTTTATGATCTTGTGGGGTTATATCGCCAGCTGTCTGAGGCAGTATGCAGACTGTGGTGATGGATTGCCTACACCTGATTTAGAAGCCCTAAGAGCGAATCCCAGCTCTAGTCTCCCAGCTTCTAGAGGCTGCCCACAATCACCTGATGGTGATCCCTTCCTCGTGTTCCTCTGAAGCCTTGCTTCTGTGTGCCATCTCCTACTGCTTCCTTTGATTTTCTTACTTTCTTCTTTTCAGGACTCCTATGATTGGATTGAACCCAACAGTGTAGGATAATCTTCCCATTTCAAGATTTTTCATTGAGTCACATCTGCAAAGTCCCCTTTATCATGTAGGGTTGTGACTCACAGGTTCTGGGAATTAGGATGTGGGTATCTTTGGGAGTGGTCATCAGGTAGCCTACCACATTTAACTAGAGGTATTACAAGACCCAGAAAAAGACTGGAACCTTCTAATGTGCATTTTCCTTGTAATCGAGAGGAATGATTTACCTGTAAAAATTTTAAAATCCTTGAATCCAAACAAATATGACTTAATCTCTAGATTTACCAGTTTTGAAAATTACTAAATTCACAGAATTATAAGATCGGGATGGGAGGGCTTTGGATGTGACTCAGTGGTAGAGTGCTTTCTAGCGTATTCAAGGCCCTGGCTTTGATCTTCTTCACTGCCTCTCACCCAATCAGAAAAAAGATTCTTTGAATCTTTTTGACTCACCCCAAGCAGGCCTGATTTGCACTCTTGCCTAGGTCACAAAGGAGCCAGCTGAGTCCCTCCTTGACTGTTTTGGGAAGTCAATGATGAAAATGCTCGTTTTCCTCTGTGCAAAAGTGACAATTCTTGGCTAGTGCTCTCCTCCACACTCCCCACTTCTACCCATCTTTGCCGTGGAACCTACATATAGTTCCCTTGTTCAGAGCCAAATGTCCCTATGGTTTTCACCATACTCAGCCTATTTATTCCAGTACTTTTTAAAAGAATAGTGTTCAGAAGCTCACTGTAAGGCCAGGATGGAGATTCCAGGACCTTAAGACATATATCTTTCCTGGAGTAGACGAAAGTCTTCGCCTTTAGAGAGATCATGGACAATCTTCCCCTCTCTCACCTCCGAGTTTGGAAAGCATACTCATACTTCTTTTAAGATATAGTTGAATTTTCAAATTCTGTTACATTAAATTCTTAAAAATTATGGGCTATTCATGGATGTCCCTGGTGGTTTCCTACAATCAATCATTCTTTACCTCAAGGATCTTTTGTTCTCACAATGGCAGCTGTTATTCTACTATAGGAATAAAATTAAATGAAAGGTCCTTTAGATCACAGGATAAATCTAACTTATAGTAGGTAGCATTGGAAACATGTGAATATTGATTAATTTTATTGTGGCAGTATCCCATATTTCTATAACAGTTCACTTTATCTGGCTGTCCCTCCAGTTTGGAGTAATTCCTTAAGTGAACTAGATTATCCTATCTCCTCCGGGTGTTTAAGGGTTGTACTTTTCCTTGAGGCCTTACCATATTTCTTATAGAAAATTCAGTGGGTCATTAGTAGCATTGGTGACTGTCAGGTGTTAATCTGACCATGCTAAACTGCATTTCCTAGAATTTGCTTTTCTTTATGTTTCCAGAAGAAAGGGACAAAGAAGATATTCTTATGTGAGCTTTGAACGCAAGTGACATTGCGGGATTTTGTAGTGCACACACACTGCTGCTGACCCATTGCCTCACCATGGGTAGATGGGCAGCAGCTATGCCTTTAACAATGCCACCTTTTTCTGGCTCTTCTTTCAGCGTCTGTGACTACTGGGCCCTGACCAAAGGACTCAGCTTCTCCTGGAAGCCTTTCCTACCAGAAAGGTCAGAAGCAGCAAGAACTGACACAGATTGCAGCTTGCACTTGTGTGTCCAGCTTGCTTTTGCTCTCCCTCTTTACTACTATCTTCCTTTGTCTTCTTGCTGCCCCGTAGACTTCAAGCTCCAGCATCAGTTGTGACAGTAGCTTTACAGAAACAATGTCGCAGCACACACATTTGCATCAAGTCAAACCTTTTCAGATAAGTAGGAGGTAGGTGGCTGGGTAGATGGATGGACTGATTTCTCAGTGGTTCTACCTTTCAGCTTCAACACTGATTGAAGCAATAACTCTGTCCCAACTATGTAAACCTACTTGTGTAAGAATGGGCTCCGAGCTGGCAACATCAAAAGCTTATCTTTTAAACTTATTTCCTGTTTTTATTCAGAGCTCTTTGCCGTCTCTTAGTTATAACATTAATTTGTTGTTTTCCTCTTTCATATATCATTGAAGATCAGAATTTTATGTCTTTCCTCCAAATCCAACCCAGTTTCTGGATCTAATATAGCCTTAATATTAAGCACTTGCCACTGACAAATAGAATGTGAATATTTACATATTTTTCTATTGAAACTTTATAATCACATATGGATGGCCCTTTTATTATCATATTTTGCTATAGATTTGATAATGAGTACCTTTATATGACACTCTTTGCCTTTAAGAGTAATAACCAGAAGAAGTCAAATAGTCCAAAACATTATATCTTTAAAAGTCCAGTTTCATAGAGTGGACGTTATTTAATAATACTTGCATCAGAGGTCATTAGTGCATGTTTCAACATACTTTCTAAGCCATAGGTTGTTACAAACAATAGATGATCACTTACTTCTTTAAAGGCAAAGTAATGGTGTTTCATGTTGTTCGACCAGTCTTGGTGCTGAATGTGTCTCATGGTGCCACCTACTTGTGGGAAAAGTGACAAATGATAAACGATTTCTCTGACATCCATTATTTTGTAGGGCGGCATACAAACACTTTTTCTAGAGTTGAATGCTCTGGTTTGTGTACGCTAAGAGAATTCTGGATCTTTTCTCTATCTTTTCAAATTTAAAATAATTCTAATTCTATACAAAAGTCAAAACATGACCCTAGAAAGGAGATAATCTATAAATTGATTAATTCTCATAAAAACTAGTCATATATTGTGATTGCTACAAGGAAAAAAATCCCGAAGTAGGAGAGACAAGGGGCCAAAATCCTGTGATCCTTGCTGTGTGTCTTGCTAGTCACAACTGAGAATGATTGGAGACAGATTCTTTAAAGCTGATATGGGCTTTTCTGTATTTCTGTTTTTATTCTTGGGTATTTGGTTGAATTAGTTCCATTGCCTTCCCTTAAGAATCTTCTAATCACATATGTCCCCATTCCTCCTAAACTGTGGTCCTAATTCCTATGTTTCCCTATCATCTTCCACTCAACATTTTCTCAAATGCAGTCTTGCTCATTGGATGTCTTGGAAGGACACCCTCCCAATACTTTCCTCAGCAGTTGCTGACTCTTGGGAAGGCTTTGATACCACCTCAGGCCTTTGACTGATTCCATATGGCTACAGCTGTCTCTGAACCCAGGTTAACTCTCAGTCTCTTTGCAATCTGGATCAAGGAAACTTGGGTGCCCAGGGTGGGGATGGCATTTGGCATCACGTATGCTGCAAACTCTGTTAATAGTCTCGCTATCTGTGTGACCTCTAGTCATTTCCCTAACCCTTCATGCTTCATTATTCTAGTCTATGTGTGCCATGGGGAGAAGAATAATACCTGCCTCATAGTATGACTTAAAGATTTCTCAACTTTGTGTTTCTGTTTGTGAAGCAGAACAGTGGCTCACTGGTGTTAAATGCATTAAATTAAAAACAGTCAGTCAAACAAATAATGCATGTGCTACAGAGAGAGAAGAGCTGGTGCCTAAGGAGAGAGCTCTAGGATCTGCTAGAGCTCGTGGGACTAAGCCAGGCCCAGACACAATTTTAAAGGTAATAGATTTACAGTTACTCCTCAACCACTATTCTCTCTTCCTATAGAAAAGGTCCAACATATATTCGCTTGGTGGTAAAATACATTCATGTATTTAAATGTATATGTGTAAAATTTTAAATTGAGGGCATACTTAGTTCAAGACAGATGACACAAGCTGGGAAACAGATAAAGAAGCAAAGATGATTGTGGCCCAGATGAAGTTTAGAATCTAGCGGCTGCAAGAGACATCACACAGATAATTGTGCAGTTACTTGCGTAATTACAACTGTGACGAGCACTCTGAGGAAAAAAATAACACATAACAGGACTCCTGTCCTAATCCCATGGGTCAGAGAAACCTGTCAAAGAAACGGCATGCAAACCTAAAAGGTGAGGCCTCGGAGGAGGCTTGGGGAAGGGAAAGTGCTTCACAGACAAAGGCAACAGCACGCACCAAAGCTTTGGGGTCATTTTAGACCACGGGGATAGAAAAAAGAGAATTAGTATCTTCTTTTAAAATTAGATGGTAATCATTAACAGGCACTAAGGAATTACCTGCTTTGCCAAGGGGAGACTGTGTTGGTGCTACACATTGTACCAACACCCCGCCACGTCAGTATAGAACACGGAGAACACTTCTGATGGAGGTGATGGAAAACTTTATGGAGAAAATTAAATTACAGTTTTAAAGGATCATTTGGGCTTTAGGAGACGTAACTAAACTAGGAGAAAGCACTGATGAAATGAGCCTGACTAAATGTTATGAGTGTTATAATGTCCTTTGCTGTATCAGTATTATACTAACATTTTACATTCACTGAGCATTTATCATGAGCAAAGCACTGATCCAAACACTTTCCATATGAAATTTCATTGTCCTCGCTACACATTTCTGAAGTGACTACTACCAATTTCCTGTTTTGCAGATGACATAGTTAAGACTCACAGTCTGAGAAGCACGCCCAAGACCACACAGCAGCTGCAGGGTAGCACTCAGGACTCAAACTGAGATCCCATCTAACATCTCAGTGCTCTTAGCTAATTGGCTGTAATGTTGCTTTAACACCCACCTCCAACAATAGATGGCAAAACGTGCTATTGATAATTCAAATGGCAATTTTTTATTCCTGTTAAGGTTGATCATTTTTACACGTGTCTTTAAAAAAAACTACAGTTCTTATGCAATTTGTTCATATGCAACTTCTATAAAGAAGTGGGGGCAATTGTGAAAAAAATAAAACTATCAAGTTTTGCTACTAGCAAATCAGTAGAATTACTTTTTTTAAGGGTCCTTCCCCAATCTCCTGAAAACACACCATAAAATTTGCTGCCAGAATCATTTAGAAATAAAGTTGTCCTTTTTACAGGTCTTTTATAAGCTGTTTTTGTTCTTTAACAAATAAAAAACGACGCAATTGTCCCCTACAAAATAGCTGAGGTTTTACTTGAACAAAAATCTGTTTGGAAATGTTAAGCTGGTTACACAGAACTAATATGCCTCAAGGTGGTCATTCTCTCTGGATTAAAGCTGTGGAACAATCGTGGCTCCTGTTACAAGGAAAATTACAATGGACCATTATGAAAAGGAACAAAAATCTCTGTTCCCAGAGGGGGGACTGACAAGCTGAAAGTCCTCCTCTAAAAGCCAACACAAAAGCCTGATTGCCTCATATTGTTTGTTTATGTAAATCAAAAGGGTGTCATTAATTGTGTAAGTGGAACTGCTGAGCACCAAAGGAGGTGGTGATTGGCTAGATTCTTGCTCATGGACTTTGGGCAAATCTGACAAATCCTGTGGCATTTATTCTAAACTCTCTGGACACCATTAGGAAATAAATCGGTTATTCTGTACTGGAGTGAATAATCTGCATTTTTAGAGCTATAGTTGGAACTATAGGACTTGAAGGCAAGAGAAGACATCTTATCGAGGAGCTGCTCACTCAGTTTCCCCAAAGTTCTCTCCAGATTGAACTCCAGTGTACATCATGACAGATGTTCCTGCAACATTTACTGGGGCTGAGTGTAATGGGGATAGCCCCCGGGAACATGATCAACAACGTATCACTAAGATCAGTGATGACGTGACTGATGTGGACTACAGGGTTGAGCCCAGTGGTGAAGATTTCCACACCAAAGGAAATGAGGGAGAAGATGGAAAATCACAAGGAAACATGCTGCTTGACTCATCCATAGATGAGAAGATCCTGAAAGGTATTGTACTGTATTCCCCTTTCTCTGCACTTCGCTTGTTCTCATTTATGAACTCACTTGGAAGTTTATCTTTCAAGCTTTCTTCTTTTTGGATAAACTCTTATGACAAGAATAAACAGGATATCCAAGAAGAGTAGCTCCTCATTCTGCCAGGGCTGTGTCTCTTAAGGACTAAACTTTTGCCTCTGATAAATCCAGCTTTGTCTTTTTGTGTGATCCTAGATCTTTTTTCACTAGAAGAAAGCAGAATAATATTAACTACATTTGTGAGCTGATAGGAATATTTATTAAATGTTGACTAAATATTAAATTGTTCTTAAATATTAAATTTATTATTATTATGAACACCCCCATTACTATTTGTAAGGAGAGAACTCAGAATCTGTTGCATATGCCTGAAGATGTCTGAATTCACTTCTATATCCTTTTTACATATTAAAGGAAGAGTAATCAATAAAGATATTACTTATTAAAAAAGTGAATAAAGAAAGGAATCAGAGTTCCAATAGTAATTTTTAGTAATCATAATTAAAATTAAAGAAATATACTTGGAATCTAAATTGACACATTTTAACTCTTGAACTACATATATCTTAAGTGTTACAATACTTGAATTTTTCCCCAGAAAACCCAGAAGAGAACCTCTTTATTGTTCATAAGGCTATCACAGATCTTTCTCTTCAAGAAACAACTGCTGATGAAATGACATTCAGGAAAGGTAAAAGGAACTACAGTTTTCTACACAGAAACTGTTTGACTGTGTATGATGACAGTTTTTGCATGTACTAATGTGTGAGTGTGGTGTGTTGGAAGGGCAATCCAGGCAATGCCTTCAAAATCTCAAAGCTGCTTTAGGCAGATAAGAGAATCTTGACTTATCTGCTGTTTCCCGCCTCAGAGAGCATCCCAGATGGCTTCAGACTAAAATGGAACGAGCTGGTATAGCTGATTGGCATACCAATGTGATATCTGTCTTTCATTAAGTTAGCCCACTAAGTCAACCTTTCTTTTTTGATTTGGTGTCTCCAAATTTGTGTCAGGTACCTTATTAAATGTAAATGTTTTAAAAGCAGGTATGCCCTGAAAGTCTACTATTGGCACACAGTTTAGAATAATTCTATAAATTGATTTACTCTATAAAAAAATTCTAGGCTCCTGATGTAAGTGCAAAATGGTTAACTATTTCTTGTCTAAAAAATGTCCCAGAATGATGAAGTAGATTTAATTGTGCTCTTTAAGGAAATGGGAGAGCAAAGACATTGAGGTGACTATATTAAATCTCAGAGGAATGCAGTAGACTAGGAGACAAAAAGTCCTGTAGACATTTCTTCTAAAATGATACTATATCCAAGCAGTATTCAAATAAAGGGTAGGATAAAAATCCACTAATTAATTATTCATGTCCTCTCCTGCAGCTGTAAATGTTGTATCTCAAAATTAGAGTCAGCTTGTTAGGTCTAAATAATTTAGCTTACTTAGGACCTGAAGGCAAAGATATTAAAGAGATAATTGGTTGAAATATTAGAACATCACATAAAATAGTAGGTGTTAAGGAGGACAGTAAGGTGATTGGCCATTTCTTGGATTGCTCCTTTTGCCTAGCTAACTCTGTCCCTTGACCAGTGCAGAGAGAGTTACTTCAGGGAAAACTGAGCAAGCAGTACCTACTGAGAGGTTACTACATCCCCAGAGGTAGTTTATAAACTTAAGGCCCCACAAAACGAACTAAATCACTTCTTTGCCCTAATCTTTCTGCTTGCATAGTCATGAAGCTTCTGAGGCAGGGATCATAGTCTTCAATTAGAGCCTTTTTCAAATTTCTTATCTAGAGACCCACTATAGATGTCAGGTTTCTAGGAGCTCCCATTTTGATCAAATGGAGAATGAAAGCAGTCTCTATTGTAAAGCTAGATGGTCTTACCAGCAAATTTGTCTCTGAATGAATCCTTTCATGTTTGATGGATCATGTGCTTTCCTTTACGATGGAGGCACAGATTTTGATGCCTTTTATTTTCACAATGGCAAAACAGCTATAAAATCTGCAAGGAGAATGCTCCTGGACTGAAAAATATAAAGCTGCTAAAAATATGAAGAAAAGCTATAATTTAAATTCAAGAATTCAAGAAGTAATTTCATTCATGCCAATCCCAAGCCTGAGTTATGAATATGAGCAAAAAGATCAGTTTCTTTTGTTCTTGTGAAAAAACAAAACAAACAAAACTTAATATTATAGCTAACATTCTAATCCATTTTTTTGTGTAAAGAATACTGACTAGATACCAATGAACTTATAGCTGTTATAGATAACTAGTGGAGTACTACACCTTCACTTCTATCCCTCTGAAAATTTAAAATCTGATTTCTAGTTGAGTCTGGTGTTACACATCTGTAATCCCAGGACTTGGGAGGCTGATGCAGGAGGATTGCAGAAAGTTCAAGGACAGCCTGAACTGCATAACAAACCCCTATCTCAAAAAGCCAAAAGAATTTGTTTTTGCTAGAGCAAGAAAGGAAAAAAAAAAAAATAGAACTAAAAACCTTGGATGAAAAACGGAATCGTGTGCACCTCTTTCAGGAAGAATAGAAAACTGGAGTGGGAGGACAAAGGCTTGTGCTGATGGAGGAAGTGGAGAAGCCAAGCCTGGCGAGGGTCACAACCCGGACATTTCTGGACAAGGCGCACTATGCCCGGGGCTCCCACAGAAGCCTTTTATTGTGAAAGCTCAGAGAAACTGCCTTTGCCCTCTTACGTGCTCAGTGAACTTTGAGGAAGGTGTACTGATGTGACCAAGATGTGTGAAAAGTGTCCAGTGCAGTGCGTAGTTTTCATTGGATTATGACTGAAACAGGCTAATCTAGTACTATGCTATAACCTCAGTGTGATTTCTAAATCTGGGCTTTCTAGCAATCGGTGGGAGATCTTAAGCGTACTATGTGCGCCTCGCTGGGCTTGTGCCTCAGTTGCCAGTACATGAGCCCTGAGCATCTTGGCTCTGCTCTTTCTTTTGTGCCTGATTACTTGACGAGAACGCTGAGGAACAGGGAGTCAAACGCCCAGTTTGCTCCCAAGTTTGACCAGACACGTGCTGTCACTGTTTTCTAATTTTCTTTGAGAGGTATATCTGGGGGTATGAGATAGGTCCAGCATGCTGTTTTATTTAGTCACATATCCAATTTGTGATAGGTTAGACAGGATTTTTAAGTATGTTTCAGGGATTTACAGTCTCACCAAATAAGGTAGCCCACAACAGTAGAGATCCATAGTCAAATGAGCTTGGGTTGCTGACTTCCCTGAGACTTACACTATTTGTTAGTACCTTAATGGTTTGGATAGATTTTGAAGAAACTGCAAACTAATTTGACTGTGAACTGTGTTTAATTGTTTAGAACATCTTAGTAGCTCAGAATCATATACCATAAGACAAAAGTTGAGGAATCATTGTTCATAAAAATAATTTAGAGAATCATAATGACAGGTAGGTATTTTGAAACCTCTACACATATCAACTACCAATTGATTTTGCTATAGGACCTCAGTGGGAGAAGATTCCTTTGAGCAGCACCGGTAACCAGGAGATAAGCAGAACCGTGGACGGGATTACTGAACAACCTCTAGAGGAGACAGATGCCGAGAGTAAGAGCAAAGCTCACTCAGCAACAGAAATTGAATGGTTGGGATTTCGGAGACCTAGCCAAGTTGTTGTATTGCATTCTAAACAAGAGGAGGAGGAAGAGGTTTGGGATGAAGAAACTAACGATGATAATTGCAATGATGATGAAGATGAGGTCAGAGTGATAGAATTTAAGAAAAAGCACGAAAAGAGTCCTCAATTCAAAGACGAAGGTGATGTAAGTGAGGACTCTCCACTAAGCAGCCCTAGTTCACAACCTGTGACACCTGATGAGCCGCCAACATTGGGAAAGAAGGGTGATATCTCTAGAAATGCTTATTCAAGATATAATACGATATCCTACCGGAAAATCAGGAAGGGAAACACCAAGCAAAGAATTGATGAATTTGAGTCTATGATGCATTTGTAACCTAACTGGAACTGACAACTTCTCCTTCTTGCTAAAACAAAAGCTAATTTTATTCTGAAGTAAATCTTTCCATATCTTATTTGAGTTATCCCCTTGAAAGTTGTGCAAGCTTGCAGGATTTTTCACTATACAACAATGTGGAAATAACCTTACACAGAGTTCGATCTGGTCACTTCAAGTAATAAAAAAACCAACTTTAGATTAATTCTTAGGCATTGGCTTTTTAAAACTTCACTAATACTCCATTACTGTAATAAGCATTAAAGAGACAGCCCCACTGGGAAATCTGGCATAGTGTGGTTTAAAATGCAGTACTTAACAAGAGGCAATGATGTGAAATGACTCCTATTTTTCTGGTGTTTTTCTTCCTGCATATTGCGGATGAAAAACCTGGCATTAAATCTCTATTACTTTCAAACATGGATTTGTGTACTCTTTCATCAAACTTCCAAATCTGTACCTTTCATATTACCTATCATAAAAAACATTCTAAAGGATTTTCGTTGGCAACTTCTGAGTGGAAATTCTGCAGGCCTCCTTCCTAGGTGTAACATTCACGGAAGTGTCTCGCTAGAGGGGCTGTCAGTCAGGAGGGCTCTGCTAAATGCTGGCTTTATGCGTTCAAACAGAATGAAGCTCATTGTGAGGTCACCATAGGGAGGGGCTGGAAGACTGGTGGGCAACAGGCGTGAGGGTTATATTGGTTCGTTTTATTTCTGTGGCTGAGGACAACATCTTGTCTAGCAAATTAAATCATCAAAGAATGACAGTTTTAATAGTATTTTAAGAAAGTACCATTCTCTATCACTGCACTTTTTCTTATTAACAGTAGCTCAGAATAATTTTCTTTCCTTAGAAATCTGAGACAATGCTAATCATAAGTGTGCTAGTTACTATGAAAATGAAAATAATTATCTGAGAATACTTTCAAAGTAGGGTGTGAGCATATATTTTTAGTGAGAAAACTGATACTTGTTGGGAATATATAATTTGCTGGTCCTTGGCCCACATCAAGAAACTTAAAATTGTACTTGTGGAGCCTCACAAAAACCAACATGTCAAATAATGTATTGAATATTTATGAAAAGAGTCTATATTTATATTCTTAGAGAGTTTGTTCCATAACTTTTCATTTCATGCTTCCATATATATCACCCTGAACTTTCTGTTACCACAGATAAAAATATCTTTTGCCTCTGCAAATAAAAAGACAATTCCTTATTGTCTGAATGTAATACAGTCTTCATTGTACTATTCAGCCCTTTGTTTATTTCTTTTTCATTTTGTGAAAAAGCCTGGGTTAGTCCTTCTTAGGTTATTGCTTATTTATGTGTAACAAATCCACATATTCTAGTATGTGGCAACTTCTTTGATTCTTCTTGGTTATATGATATCGTATCATGTACCATTATTTAGTGTTTATAAGACTCAGTTTTGTATTCAGGATTAACATACTCTTTTTGTTCTTTTAAAGGGATAGCTTACTACCTGATCATATGAAAGGTGTTACCCTTTATTATAAGGTATGGTATACCCTTTACTAAGGGTGAGGGTTTACCCTTAAACTATAGAACCTGAAGATTTCATTTGGTATAATGTGAGCTTTTAGAGTAAAGTGAGGGAAATCGGGTCTTTATTGATAAAGTTAGGTCAGAGATTGATTCACTAGGATAATTTCCTGTTTAATTTAGATCTTCTAAATCTTTCTTTCTGGGCCAGGGATATAGCTCAATGGCACAAGCACCTGCCTGGCAAGCACAAGGTCCTGAGTTTGAGTCCTGGTACAAAAAAAATCTTTCTATCTGGACAACCTATTTTCTGGGTTACTGATGATGCCTATAATTTTCTAATTAACATCAGAGCACCATATTGTGCCATCTATCATATAACAGAGCCACATTATTAACTCACCTTAAGACAGCCTATGCTTTAAGTTATTCCAGTAGATGGTGTGAGTCCTGTGGAGCTTGAGTAAGATGAGAGAAACATGGCTCTCTGATTTGGCAAAGCAATTGGTTTTTATGGGGCTCCAATGTATACAATGCATAGTAATCCCATTTTTTTAAAGCTTTGTCCTCTCACCAGGTAATTAACCAATAATGAAAAGTTTATCAACAGGTGTGGTGTTGCATGCCTGTAATCTCAGCACTTGGGAGGCTGAGGCAGGAGGATGGCCACAAGTTCTAGGCCAGCCTGAACTACATAGTGAGTTCAAAGCTAACCTGAGCTACTTAGGGAGACCCTTTCTCAAAAATAAAACGTATACTGTTTTATCAACAAAAACTATTTTGAGGTATGGTCAATTGGTAAATGCTCCGTGTTCATGGATGAAGTGATACAGTTGTGCAAGAGTGCCTATGCCATTCTTTGATGTTGCTGAGCCTTGTCCTAAAGTGCACCATACACCAAGGTCACAGTGTTAAGGGACTCGGAGCAATGTGAGGTGATGCCTGTCTGCTTGAGCTTCTGTGCCTAGGAGGACAAAGGTCTCCATCAGATGGCATTAAAATATGTGAGAAATGACTGAGAACAAAAAATTAGTAACTGTATATGAAGATTTTCTGAGATTTTGTGATTCAAGCTTCAGAGTGATCAGGACTCTGGTACCTGGTAGCAAAGGAAGATGATTTATGGTGTGAATGCTGATATTTACGATATGATTTTTAATTTTTTGTTGCCAGATGTATAAGAATTAATAACTTTATTTCTCTGTAAATATGAAATCTACCTTTTATAAACTGCTGCATTTGAAGGCACAGAATTTGCTAGAACCTAGCACTATCTCTTCCTGACATGTATATATATATTAACAATTTAAATGAAGAATTGTTGTGCCTGACTTGCTCTCAATAAAAGTTGATGTTTTGTTTCTAGTCTCTAGACTTTATTTTCTTTAGCTTCTCTCCAAAATTTAGTAACAAATATTCCATGACAGCAGCTATTAAGATCATCAATAAATGCCTCTTCAAAAAATGGGAGCGTCCTATTCCAATTAATTTGCATTATTTGTTGCAGAATGATTATATGTGGAATTACCAAAAGTTTCTGGTGGGTAGATATTTAATGTATATGAAAAATTTGTATGTGTTTAAAGAAACTGAGGTATTATTTTAGATGTATAATACTACCAACAACTTGAAGAGTATATGATTATCTTTTAGTCATCAACTCATACGTTTAAGCAATGATGATATTTTTATCGTAATTGTTTTTATATATTTCCATGGGGTCGCACTTTTAGCAAATTTACAAGTGGAGAACAGACATTTAAGTTTTTTACAGTGATACGGGAAACATTTTAAATAAGCAATAATAGAAAATTATGGAAAAGGACGAAATAGCAGCATACAATAAAGAAGAAATACGTTTGGTTATATTAGAAAGGCAATCGCTTCTCTTAAAGCTTGAACTTTCATTGCTCTATAAAAACAAGAGGGCTATAAAAAGTAATGTCAAAAGTTATATTTGCCAATATTAAAATATCATACCATACCATAACACCATAAATATAAAAACCAAAATATGTACAAGCTCATGAAGAACAGGAGATAGCTAGACCATACAAGCAACGCAAATGGTGACACAGGCAGTAAATAGGAGGCAGAAATCACCCAGATACAAGTACAAAATAAACCAGTCATATCTAGTCACTAATTTCCACCTCAGGAGAATTTAAAAAATAAATTTAGAAAGTAATTTGGATTTTTCTAATCATTTCAAATTATATGTTTGACTCCTTCTTTATATTACTTTCATTTGGTCAAAGGCAAAAAGTGAGTACTTAAAAATGTTCAGAAGAATTGGAAAATCTTCTCTATTGTTTTGAACTTGTTCTCACACTAACAAATGTTTTCATTCAAACAATAAAATTACCCACTGGGTCTTTGCTTTCTCTTGTTTTTAAACCTACTTCCTTCCTGTAGTAGCAAATACATATAAAATTAGCTAAGGTTGTCTGGAGAAGAATGCAACATATCTATAATCCTCAACTGAAGAATAAGCCTCCTGATAATTTAGAATATGACTACTCCTTTAAGTCTGTAAAACAGTATCCAGGGTGAAAGTCTCTGACATAGTTTTATGCCAAAGGCCAGATACACACAAAGGTGTGCACTTACATGGGAGCTACAGGTATTCAATGACAATTTAAAATTATCTCTTTGCTGAGTGTAGAAACTCTTGGTTTTACTTTCTGCCAGTTTAAAGCATCCATACACATACATACACACACGTATAACATATATTTCATAAAAATTGATATTTTCAATGGTAAAGTTCAAAATCTTTATTCATGTTAGCAAAAATTTTGGTTTCAACACCTACTATAAAGGTTTTATTCATATACATATTTATAGTGAATATCTTTAGGCAAATATCTATCAATCAATAATAAAATAGAAATATATTTGATTATATGAGACCTCTATTCTCAAAGAAATTATTTCTTATTTTATGGCAATTTTCCTTATGAGGAGCTCAGTATATTTGAAGTTGTCCTATGTGCTGGAAAATGAGAATTTTCACTTTTGTTTTTACAAAGCAAAGACTTAGGTAAATTTTCAAAGGGACCCGGATCAAAATGGTCATGGTTAGTTGATTTATTGGATTGGAAACAGGTGCATCAAATTGTCTTTGTGTGGTGGTATTTTTTTTATCTTTTTCTTTCTTTGAGACATGGGTATCACCAACGTCTGAAACACCATCCATCTGGCCTAACTGAGCAATAAGATACTTTGTATGGCGTATTCAAACTTTTCACTGGGGTATTTATCAAAAAATAAATATTTTATATAATAGTTTTGGTTAGTGTTTATTTTTCTTATTTTAATACAATTTGGCTTACAGCAATTTTTTAATAACCCATGAAACAGTTGTTGTAAAAGCACTATAGTGACAATTGACACAAGTAGAGTAGAAAGTCATGGTTTGAATTTTAAATTGAAAGATTCTTCAGTTTTTAAACTTTTCATCTGTGTTCAAATGCAGTAGTTTATCAGCTTTGCTTAAAGACTGGGTGAAGAAGGAGCTGGTGTTATTCGCAGAAAAAGCACTCTACAATTTTTTTCTGTTTCTCATATGTCGAGAGAAGATGGAAGGTAACGAGTCAAAGGTATAGAACCTTTCAAGACATGTGGAGTCATCAATCACACTTACCCCTCCACATAAGTTGCTTAACTGAGACCCAGCTTCCATTTCCTGTCTGCTCACCAGTGAAGAAAGGCGAAAGTGGATTGAATTCAATTCATTAAGTTATCTGTGACATCAACCACCTATAATCAAGGGGGATTTTAACTGGGCCTACCTGCATTGATTGCTCTATTTATTTAATTATATAGTGTAGAGAATGAAACTTTTTTGGAGAACCAGATAGAATGGCAGCTGAGTTTTACCTCTTAATAGTGGGGTGACCAATTCTTTCATCAGTGCTGTGGATACTCACTCTTCTTTGTTAAGGGGAGAATGAGACTGCTCCAATGTGACCCACTCAGTGGGCCAGAGCAGATGTGGTGCATAGTATATGGTACTATTCAGTGATGCTTAGCTCTTCTCTGTTTTACTTGTACCTCTCATAATTTTCTTGTCTTTGTAGAAGATATTGAGACCTTCCGTTGAAGTATTCTTTCCTGTGTTCTGAGTATGATACTTAAATTAGAAGTGTTTGAACAAAAAAAGATCCTATCTAGTAGGCTTCAACCCCATTTTCTTCATAAGAGATTCTTACAAATCACTTTCAGCTGATTTTGAAATCAGGACCAATTGAGAATGTTGAATTCCTGTACACAGCAATTGGTATCCTGCCCCGGTGCAGTGTCCTAGGCAGTGCTAGAAGGATGATGGTTTCATATGTAAGAGAATGTTTCCAAAGCAGTGTGGTGAAGCTAGTGACACGCTGTAATCATGGGCACGTGGTTCCTTGCAGCCCTCTGAATGACAGCTCATTGAATGTCAGCAACCAGAACTGGGCAAATTTGATGCTGGTGATAAAACACGGCTGCACCAACACAGCTGTGTCACCCTGCGTGGCAGTAGAGTGGAAGCTGTGGGTAGCTGTGGAAGAGAGGAAGTAACTGGGCAAAACACACCAAAACATTTTGACTCTTTGGTAAGTTGGTGTTTTTGTTTTTAAAATCAAATCCTGTTAATATTAGCCAGTGTTCAATCTAACATATACAGACTTTTTTTTCCTAATTAAGGCAATAATTTAATCCCATTCCAAGAATATAGCCTCCTTTTTGAAGAAGTCAGGGCTGATTAGGACCCTCATGTGCTCCACTTGAGGGTTTATCATTAAAAGTCCCTGAAGACCTATAGTAGCATTTAAATGCTTATTCCAGTCTTCTAAAAACAAAATTTAGAGGATGATCCTGTTTTCTTTCTTTTTTTTTTTTTTAAAGTTGTAGGTAGTAGATTTGACAATTAGTCAATACTCACAAGGTAAAGCCCACATAGATTCTAACTGGTGATTAGCTCTTTGTAATCTTAGAGTCACTGAGCACTTACATGACAAAAGGATTTAAAAATTCTTCTCAAGAGCAAACAATGTCATGTTCCAAAACAACCTTTTGTGGTAGTGACAATATACACTGAATTATAGCTTTATATAATAAGTATGTCAAGGTAAAATCAGGAAGAACATATGCTAAGCAGACGGGAGAAGGTTCTCTTGAGAAAAATATTCAGCTTTCTTCAGCTGGTATACCTCAAGGCAGATACATTCAAAGTATGAATCATCTTTTTCTAAACGGTGTTGATTTTTCTTTGTGGAAACTGTTTTTGGATAGAATAGAGGTTGTATAGGCTGCTGAAGGGGCTTTCAGAATCTTTCAGTTACATGAAGAGTTCCATAAGGCATCCAGCATGGTCAGTAAGTCAACAAGTCCTTGGCAACAACAGACTTGTCCCTCCCCCATCCCCAAATGGCTGTTTTGGGAGGAATTGTATCATTTGCTAGTTGTTCTTTTATCTCATCTGCAATTGTAAATTATCTGAATAAAACATTTTAAATATGTCACAAATGTTCAAACTGCTCCCCCTTCCCACTCTGAGTTAATAGTTCTGCTTTTGTGAAATTAGTTGGAAGTTAAAATTGAGTGTTAAACAGAAAATAAGAACTAAAAATGCTCAGTTTTAGCATCATCTCAACTGAACAAAGATTGAGAAAAAAATAAAAATAGTAGCATGAATCACATGGGCATGCCACAGGGATTCAACTCCAGCAAAGAGGTTTATGGCCCTCTTTCTAAGGACAGCTGTGGAACTGATTTGTTTAGGCCAGTGGGCCTAAGCTGTAGAATGAACCCATTTTCCAGAGACACTGACCCTACCACTAATTGGCCTACAATTTTTTAGACAGGTAATTTGTTTTAGGGTATCAATTTTCTTACCAAAATGACTGTAAAGGATATCCTGATTTCTAAATATTTTTTCTGGTATGCTTGCTAAGTACTGATACAGGTATATTAAAGATGACAGCTAATTTGTAGTAAGGAAATAGTTTACTTTTCCCCAGACATCATGTTATCATTGGGTTCATATTTGGGGCTTTGCTCTTTTTCTCCCCCTTGGAAGTACCAGGTCCCTCTTCTTTGGCCAAGTCTAGGACAATTTTTTTCTTAACTCTCTTCCAAAGAGCTGTTTATCTCATTTTCTTTGTCTTTTATCATTTTTCTTTTATTTCTACTTTGTAATGTTTTAGAGTCCAATTTTAGCATACCTCATCCCAGGGAAGTAGTATTTTACTACTTTCATGTAAAAAACATAACATTTTTCAGTGCTCTGTTTCCACTTATTTGTCAACTCCTCTCTTATGGTCCTACACTAGAGTGTGTTCAATAATTAAAAGCACTTTTGATGATGACAGTGTCTTGTGACCCAGTTTCTTTTTTAAACTATTTACATAAATCTTAGAAGTTACAGGTGTGGCCAATTTTTTAAAGTATAGAACATCCTTGCCTATAATTAAATAAATATCTAAAGATTCCTCACTTAAAATTGCCTCCACTAACTCAGACTGAAAAAGAAATTACATGATAATCTAGATCAAAACTATTATTTGCTACTAGGTAGTTATCAATAATTGATCAATACTATTTCAAACTCTTCAGTAAACATGCATTAGTCTGGAAGGGTTTCAGCAGCGTAGTAGCTTTAAAATAATTGTCTAAGGTCTTGTAGCTATAAAACTTCTAGCAACTTATTTCATAAAAAATTACACCATAAAGGACAGGTGCTCATTGTGTATCCCTCTACTTGTAGGCCAAAAGATGTAGTTATTATGAAATGCTACCACCATTGAATCACTGTGTTTCCCCACATCTGTCTTCATTTCCAGTTACCTGTGGATTCCTGGAAGAAGCTGGAGGGGTGAATTCCATACAGGGCAGGAAATAGGCAATTCCAAAGGCCACCCAGGGTGGAGAAGGACTGTGATCCTATGGTGGACTCTTTTCCTGAGTAATCTTTTGGTATTTCAAATATTGTGACTTTTAAAGATCTTCCATTCAAATGCTATTAGAATTGAAAATGTAAATGACACTGAGAAATGCAGTCACCAAGTCCACTGCTAATTTCACAGTATCCAATGAGTTTTCTAGGTAAAAACATCGGCTTCTCTTCAGTCTTCATAGTACTTTTCAAATTTCCACTTTTGATGTGGTTTCATTGAGTCACAAGCAGCTACTTTCAGGGTCTTTTGAGAAAAATTTCCTTCCAAGCACAACAACTGATGTGAGTTTTCAAAAACAATGTGATTTACCTAGAGAAAAAGAGGATGTGGGCATGAACTTCCAGCTGGAATCAGCATTGGAGGTACAAAGAAAGCAGCTCCCTCCAATAGATGAGTAATTATATTTCTTATTCCTTACGAATTCTCTTGGACTAAATAAATAACATAAACACAGGCTTTGTCAAGTATTGTTTGTCTTGTCTCAAACTACGTCTTCATACTTAGTAACTATCTTATTTATAGAGAAAAATTCCAAATGGCATCTCATATATTTGATGAATGATGACTACCTCAGTGGTGGTAGTAAAGAAAAAAACATATGCCATGACAGAAAGCATTAAGTTTATATTTTACAATGCACTTTTAAATAGCAAAATGCTAGATGTGATATATTTCATTTATGGTCTCTTTACCATAATCTTTGATAGAACATAATTTGATGTCCCAAAGTCAGATTAATGAAGAATAAATCAAAGACATTTCAAAGAGTGCTGTTGTTGCTTAATATTTACTGAATATCTTGGAAATGGCACACAACCTACTGAGGGTCTATTTAGAGTTTTACATATTTTACATCTAATAATCCACTCAACCACTAGTAGTTATGACAATGATAATCTAATAATTAAAATATTTTAAAATAGTTTGAAAATTTTATAAAAACAGGATTGATTTTCATAATAATTTATTTTAAAGATGTCCCTATAAAAATTTCATCACCCTTGCTAGACTACAAACATATGATGCTAGCACGTGTGCGAGGCTTTTTGTAAAATGGTTGGCTTCGAGGAAAATGATTCTGTGGCTACAGTGTTCTGCCAATGAGTTGTAAACAGGTAACTAAGTCACCTGTTTCTCAACCTAAAGTGATGTGATGTAGGAACCAGTGGGTGGTGAGGCACTCCATACCCCACCTGTGAGAATATTCTTAGGGAGGCCAAAACGGAAGGCATTTGGGGAGAGCACATCTGGGGAACATCTCTGAAATGCAATTGCATTGATCATTTGAACAACTAATGTTATCTAGAGTCAAACTCACTAGAATACTTTCTTCTATGAAGTTCCGAACATCTAATTCTTTCTCAAAGGAGACAGTTTCCTGCTATTCGTATTCTCTCTCTTAATTTCTGTTATTCTTTGAGATTTAGATTCCTTTGAGGGTTGCCATAGTCTGGGTTTTAGTATTTCAGGTTTGGTCCCTGGGTGGTGCTGCTGGTGGGTGGAAGCTTAGAGAAGTGGGGTCCAGCAGAAGCTAGTGGGTCCTACGGGCACAACCTTGAAGAGGACCGTGGGAGCCCACTCTCTTCTTTTTTCTCTCTTTTGCTTCCTGGCCATGAGGTGAATGTTTCTGCTCTGCCAAGTGTCCCTACCATGATGTGCTTCCTCACCAAGGCCCAAAGGAATAAACTGATCTTGAACTTAAACCTCCAAAACTGTGAGCCAACACAAATACGTTCTCTTTATAATTTATCTGAGGTATTTGGCTATAGTGATGGAAAGCAGGGTTTAGGAGATTTAATAGGAAAAACTTGCAGAAGTAAAAAAGAAGACAGTCAATCACTGAGCTATTCTTCTCCGTGACTATCTAGTAAGGTCAAAAGGGAAACACAGGATGAAGAGTAGGCCAGCAGCATGGCCCAAATTCACAGGCACAAACAAGGTAGGGGTCAGATTTCTAGTTCTTGCTATCTTAACTAAATTACCTGCTTTACCAAATCAACTAAGTGTCTAGGAAGGCCTGTCCTAAATATTTTCTCATCAAAAGTCTTTGCCAAGATTTACTTCTAGAGATGTGGGATGTGTTTTAGTTATTGTCCTTCTTTTTTCTTTTCTTCTTCTCCTCCCTCCCTCCTTCTCTTTTTTTAGCACAAGGGTAAAGAAGGACAAAGTAAGATGTAATTTATCAGTAGATAAGTATGAATTCCCCAACAGTATGCAACATAAAAATACCAACGTATATACCAGAAATTTCAACTTTTCTGAATAATTTGATAGTATTATCATTAAAGAGAAAAAACTGTCCAGAAGGAATTAAAACATAACAGAGAAAGTCAGATGGATACAAGTTTGGAGAATGCATTATCCAGGCCCTGATTTTCATTTTTTCTTTTTTTTTTTTTTTAAGACAGGGTATCGCTATGTGAACTGGCCTTGAGCTCACTTTGTAGCCCAGGATGGTCTTGAACTCACAATGATCCTCCTGCCTCAGCCTCCTGAGTGCTGGGATTACAGGCATGTGCCACCATGCCCGGTGAGGCCCTGATTTTCACTCTGAGCAGAAAAAGAATAGTCACTGACTGTAATATCAAAGGGAAGACACCCCGGCCAGTGGAGACAGCCCAAAGAGGAAAGGGGCAGGCAGCTTTGAGCAGAATAACAACTTCCATGTACTCGATACTGAGAAGATTTGGTGACTACTAGTTAGTGAGATGTCAGGAAATTTGAGAGTGCAATCCTGAGTCTATTCCTGCCATCTCAAGATCCTACACCAGAGCTTATGTGTATGTGTGTATTCTGTTCAAAATACAATTGGGGAAAGCAGTGGAATTTGAGAATAAGCCCAGTAGAACAGGTAAGTTCTGGTAAATACTGAGGACTGGGCTCTGGAAACCTATTTCCTGATCCAGTTGGACCTGCTGGTTTCTGTGGGATAGACGCTCCTCACAGCAGGCTTCAGGCTGATAATTGACACCAAGGAACACGAAGTTGGTGAGTAATTGTACGGTCGGCTCTCCCATGAAACCACAGTCAGCTGTCCTTTGTGAGCTGGTCCCTACACTCCTCAGAGAGGACGAGTCCTGGGCACCAACAGGGGATGAGAAAAAGTTGTCTTGTATGGAAAGAGGGTAGAATGAAGAACGAGAACCATATTCAAAGGCAAGGCTTAGAGTAAGCATGTAGCTTCTCGGTTTTTCCTTGTACCTTTCCTACAGGATGTTAATGACAACCAATTTCAGCTCATCTGCCTTATTTTTAACATTGTTGATTGGATGAAGTGAGTGACTTTTAGAAACAAGGTAATGATTGAAAATAGAGCCATGAGAATGGGATGAATTCTTTTTAAAAGCATTCTTTTAATGCGACTTTTTTTTTAAAAAAAGATGGACCTGACAATTTACTGAAAAAAATCTGTTTATCTTTCTGAGTGAATTTTACCCTGCCTCTGTTGTCACAAACACACTTACAGCTTCCGAGTGAGGCAACGAACAATGAGGATTTTATGCTCTTTTTGACTAAAGGGTAAATTTGCAGTGAAGAAGAGGTACATAATTTTGCTCACCAGGTCTGGGTGGAAGACGGATGTTAATTTATGCAACCATTTCAGCCCTTTGTTTCCGTTATCACAAGTGTTCAGCTTCAGTGATCCTCTATCAGGGGCGGGGGCCAAACACCATTCTTCATGTTTAATAAGTCTCAACCACGTATAATTAAATTGCTGAAGCTGTAGAGGAAATGAATGAAGAAATGATCACTCCAGGCAGCAAACCTGGAGAATTTGCCAAACATTTTGTTAGTAATAATTAAAAATATAGTTGCTTTTCTTTATTTATTGTTTGAGGTACTGGAGACTGAACTCAGGCCCTTCTCACTGAGCTACATCCTCAACCCTCCACCTTAAATTTGTTTTAAAAATTTTCCTCAAGGTAACACTAAGTCAGGTGAGTCCTCTGGGCTGAGCTCAAGCTTGTGATCCTCCTACCTCCTCCTCCTACGGGGCTGAGATTACAGGTGTGCATCAGTAAGTTGTACTAATAGTGATTTATATTCAATTCCCTGTGCTACCACTTTCAGTTGTGATAGTATGCACATTTTGTTTACTCAGCCTAGTATTATTTTTCTCATTTTTAAGTTGAATAACAAAATTATCTCACAGGGTTGGGAGAATAATTATCGAATATTTAGCATACAGGAAGACCTCAACTAATGTTATACAGTAATAAAAATGATTACTGTATCACAAGTAGTGCAGATCTGCATATGACACTATTTCAGGTGTTCTGAGTTCCAGACAACTCTGATGCTTGAAGTATTGAAATCTGCAAGCCATTCTTGACTAGGTTTCTAAGCCATGGGTGGTTTCAGGGAGATCAGTCACAGTCTTAAATTTCTTCGGTGGAAATTGTTATGTCTTCTTGTTTCTGACTGTCTAGACAACTGGACTCTTGGCTTTGTTTTACTGTAGGACACATTAAAATCTTCCTTTTCTGCAAGGGCAAGGAATCATGAGGTTTAGCCATGTCAGTATTCCTCAGTTTATGAAAGCTGCTCTTGGAGAAGTCTAATTCTGAACAGTGTTTAAAACAAACGTTGATTCAGGTAATCGAACCAGATTTTCAATCCTTAAAAATATTTTCTATGGTTGTTTACGAGCTAGTATTTTCTGCCTACTCAGTTTACTATAAAACTACTAAGATAAGATGGCTATTACCTTGAAAATGATATTTCAACTGGTTTAAAAGTTAAACACTAAGGAGATGGTCTTCAGGTAGTGTAAGTGTAGCATTTGATAGTTCAGTCTGAGGGCTTTATTCCTTTTCAACTTTTTTTTGGCTGAATATCATTCTCTTGAGCTTGCTATTAGTCCTTATTTTTTGTGCCCAAACCAAGTTAACTTCTGTGATGTTTCTGTCACTTTTATTACTTAAGTAATCCAAAGAGGCAGAAGCTAAAAATGAACAATTAGATAAAGTGGGAGATGAGCTTTGTGGAAGACAGTGGCTCCATAATTCATACCTTGGTCTCTTTCCTCATCTAACACACTCAGTGGTTACCAAGAACAGCGGTTGGGTCTTCAGAAGAAATACTATTTTATTGATCACAAGAAATCCCTATAATGATGAACCGTGAAAAAATATAGTATTCAATATTTGCCTATAGTTTAAACTCACTGTGGTGTTATTTCATAGTTTATGATTTTATTTTCACTCTGAATTGTTAATAAGCAAGTTATTTCCTTTCAGTTGATTTTTTGGATACTTTTCACTTCTTTGTCTCCATTCTTCCCTAATTAATAAAGAGTTCCCAAGGGCTCAAGTTTGTAATCCACAGCTGAAGTATGGCAACAAAGATCCCTATTTTTCTAGTAGTAGTTTTTTGAATTAAAAGGTGGAGAAAGGGTATGTTTGAAAATGTAAGAAATATTTCTAAGTTAGAGAAGTAAGAGTTAGGAAGCCTTGGCTGTCAATGGAAATTAATTTTTCTACCAAAGAGTAGTCTGTAGTTTTGGGGTGGGGGCTGATTGCTACTTGCAAACCAGTGTTCCTGGGAGCCACATTTGGCACCCAATCAGACAGCTATTGGCATAGAAAGCAGAGCTCTTAGGGAACATGTGTTGGAGAAGGAGGTGTGATCACGCAGCTCACCTGCAGCACAGCAGGAGGAGTCCCTGTTCTGTTTTCCTGGGCCCTACTTCCTCTCCTAGTAGTTATGCTCTGAGTTTGTGGGAGTTCTGCTGTAGGGTTTTCCATCATGCGTTATGGATTATATGACTTCCGTTACTCCCTGAAGATGCATGTGGAATGGAATTAGAGAATAAATTGCTTCTTTAGGGTGATTACTTAAAAATATAGTCTCTCTTTATTTTCTCTATCATTCTATGTTTGTATGTTATCTTTTCTTTTACATTCTTTTGTTATTTTTATTGCAGTGATATTTACAGAGCACTAAGCATAAAGTATTCTACAAGTTTCTTATGTGTTACCTAACTCCAGCCCTACCCCTAGAGGTAAGTACTATGCTTACTCCCACTTTCCTAGGGCTAAAGAGTTTTCAAAATTAACACAATTTTGTAAATGACACATACTGGGCCCAGAGGAAGACTTTGGTACCTGCAGTTTTACTCTTTCAGTTGCTGTCATTGCATTTCATGGTGGACTCTCTCACTAGCCTTATAGTTACATTGGAGTTTGGAGAATAATTATGGATTTCTACTTAGTGAAGATAAATTTCTTAAGTAATCAACAAACATGTTAGAGGCCACACCTATCAACCATGAGGTACAAAATTCCAGCTAAGCATACCTTGCTGCTCGCCACACACTCCTCGAGAAAGACTGTGGTGTTTTCAATGGAAATGCATTTACCCAAGGCCACATTAATAAGCTAGAAAGCAGAATATAAAATATGAATTAAGAAAAATAAAACTTTTAAAGTAGAATAAAACATCCAGACACATTTAGAACACAGACTATAAAGCCGTAATAAGGTTAAAAGATAGTTAATAACAGTATTCCTTAGCACAAGATGATTTTATTGGTTGCTAGCTCTAACAGAGACATAATGTAATCTTGCTAAAGTACAGCTTCAGTCTGTCAATTTAGGCCTGTGATTCAGCCATAGAGCCAGAAAACAGAGCTTTCCATTAACCCTTGCTTGGACACTGAAAGGCAAATGAGCAAACGGTGGCATGGAAAGTAGTTATTTTCCTGTCTCAGATTTATCTGATGCATGTATTAAAAGTCAATGCACATACTTGCAATTTAATCAGACCACTGCGTTCCTTGGCTGACCCCTCCAAGCTGTCTGCTTAGGCACTGACTCATAGATAAATTGAGTCATTCAAAGAAAGGTGGATTCCAGCCGATTCCCTGTCAGAGTCTTTCTAATGATTCAAGTGAGCTGCAATTCATTACAGGAAAGTCATGAAAGCTAATATTGAGTCAAATGCAAAGGCACTTTCTGGCAGGGCCCCAGGTTTTTAATGGATTCACAGGGTCAAATATGGAGGTAGCTTTCTATCAGTCACCATTTAATGCAGGAAAATGTTGATTCCCTCACCCTCTTTGACATCCTGGGTAGAGCTAACAAGGCAGTAGGTTAATAATGCAATTTAGGCTTTTCAGGCTTTTAAAAGAGGTATGTAGAGCCAAATCTATACCACTGAAACCAGGAAAGCCTCCTGAACTGGGAGCTTGTGAGGTCTTTGTTGTCAGGGACATTATATTTGCCCCTTCTGTTTTATAATACCTAACAAAGCTGTCATTCTAAGAGACTGCATCAAAGTAAGCTGTGTAGCTCACAGGGTTGCCAAATTTCATAACAAGGCAGCCAGTGTGTTGGTCCCACTTTTACGCGCATAGCTTAGCTTAGAAGAAGTAAGCAGCAATGTCAGGGACCCAAAAGTGCAAGAAGAAGTAAAACAGAGAAACTTACAAGCTTGGTAAGCAAGGGACAGAATGGGTGAAAAACTTGGGCATAGATGAGTCAGAGTTGAAATTGTAACCTTTCACAGAAAGGTGGACCCTCAGCAGGATGGTGTACTAGGAAAAAGGATTTACCCATTATCCCAGGAATCTAGGTTCTTCTCAGGAGTCAGAAGCCTTATTCACTTGATTTTGAGAAGAAAATTTTACTACTGTCATTGGATATGTACCCTCCCAAATCTTCAAGGTACAGAAATCAACATTAAAAATAGCAGGTTGTTAATGTCTGAGGTGCCTGGCAAAGACGAGCACAAAATAATTCCAGAGGAACAGAATCTCCATCAAAAATCCTCAGAGAAACTTCCGTTCCAGTTTAAAATGACAACTATGGGAGCGTCAGTGCGTGTGAGCAGTTACAGCGCAAAGCAGAACCCAATCACACTGACTTCAGAGGGCCGCGAACGGAAGTGAGTGAAGGCAGAGTACTCCTGGAGCTTAAAGCAGGAAATTATTCTGGTTGTTCTCTGGATCTCAGCGGAAACAAGTGTCAGCTTCTGTATTTTTGAGTAAAGCAGAAAATATTCAGTCTTTAAAGGAGGTTGGACATTGGTTCCAACACAGCTGAGCAGGTTGTCCTTTGTCAGCAGGCTCTGCGTCTTCCATGAATTAGTCTCAGCTTGCTGCCGAGCACAGACGGTTTCCCAGAGTTACTTGACCAGGTAACCCTGCGCAGAACAACTAACGCTGTTCGGAGCAGTTAGGGAATCCCCAGTTTAACTGACTTCCTTGTGTTTATTTTATGTAATCCCTTCCTCCAAGCAGAAGGAACTCGGAGAAAAGGCATAGCTCTTCTGTCCCAGTATCCCTCTCCTTCATTGCATCTGAAAAGCGTTTTTCTGTCAGAGCTTTCATGGGGAAACTATTTCTCATCTTACATATGTGGTCTATGATATGCAAAGAATTTTTATTTTTCATTTCATTGAGAATAGTTTTAAAGCATTTTCATTTTTAAAAAGTTGTTTCCCTAATTTTATTGTACTCATTTCAACCTCCCTGCACCCTTTTAAATCAGGCAGTGCATAAACTTCTAATTTTCTGTATTAAATTATTTCATTTCTCAACTCTAGATAAGGGAATTCCTCACAGCTCATCTCACAACTGTTAAATCTTAGGTGTGTAGGCTGTTTGCTAACAATTTAGTCCAAGGAGAAACACGTTATTGGTCAAATTCTTTTATTAGTTTTAAATATATTTGATTCAATAAGAAATTATTCTTTTTTTTTAAAAAAAAGAACTTTCACTGGATTTAAATTCATGAGAAAATAGGCTGGAAAACAGGAAAACATGGAGTATGAGACAGAAAATGTGGAGTTTATTTTTTCAGGCTGTTTCAAGATTGTTGATTCAAATAATGGTCTAGTTAATTTTATTGTGAATTTAAAAATAGCAATAAAATTCCCTTGTGGTTGCTTCAAGAGGGAGCAAATGACATGTTTATTAACATTTTTCTAGAGCAAGCAAAGAAAAAAAACAGGACAATAGTCTGGACAATAGAAGGAAAGGATCTGTTAAACTCATTTTAAGAATAATTGCTGCATTTTGATATATTATAGTCCTGGCATCAGGGAACCCTATTTCATGAGAGCTCTGGAAAAAGTTCATGAGAACTGCTTCTAGAACTTATTTTATTATAACTTTAACTTATTAATCCCACAAATTAAAGGATTTCACTGTGATATTTCCATGCTTGTATACTTTGCCTTCACACTTCCAACTACCTGCTCAGTGGTATAGCAGAGCTAAAAGATAGTTTTATAGTGCCCTCTGGTGGTTAAAGTTTAGTAATGCTCCAGCTGAGGTTAGGAAAGGAAAAATTTACTATGGTGAGAATTTTTTTCCTTTTCAGGGATGGGACTAATATATGTAAATTTATTTTATGCATATATTTGACATATTATTATTGAATAATGTGTAAAAATCCATGTGTTAGTTCTAATTACTTACCTAAGGTTAAAAAATACTAGGTTGTGCTTGCTGAAAGAGCAGCTATTCTATCTTGACCTGTACAAGTGGCAATTTTTAAGAAAATAATGCATTGTATTATATATAGCCAGACCACATAGTTTTCTCAGCTGAGTTTTGTAAATCATTAGAGTCAATCTTCACACGAGTTTCCTGTCTTCAAAACCCTTCCTGGACTTCCCTCCTCAGCTGCGTTTCTGCTGGCAGAAGCTCTGACCCGCCGGAGAGCGGGTGCTCAGTACAGCTCGCTTTCTAGGAAGGACTGGAATGGCTTGGCCTGCAGAGCGGGCTCACTGATGGTCACATTTGAGAACACGAACGAAGAAAAGGAAAGAGGAAACTTCTAAAGAAAACAAATGAATACTTGTAGTACTCATAAATAAGCATAAGTTAGAAGGAAAATGCAAGAGATTAAAAATGACCCCAACTGAGGAAGAGCTGATTAACATCTCCCGCACTCGCTCTGATACCTGCTCTGCGGTCCACTGGTTCATGTCTTCCGGTCCGCTTCCAAAACGGCTCATTCCTAGCACAGGTAGGAGACGGCTCCCCAAATTACCTCTCCTCCAGTTTCTCCCGGCTTTGTACTTGACCAGCGCATCGAGTGTAGCATTTCCCCTTTTCATACCCCTTGTGCGCTCCAGTTTTATCTGCCATTCCCTGGTGGTTTCTGTTATTTTCAAGCCCCTTTGAAAACTTCAGATATATTTTTTTAAATCCTGATTAATTTTTGTCCACCCATTACCTAACCCTGCTCAATAAATTTCCAGTACATCGAGAGGAAGGGAGGAAGGAAATAAAGACAAATCCTTACTGTGCGTGCAAGGACCTGCGCGACCCTGCCTCTGCCTCTCTCGCCCTCGTCCTGTCCTGTGGTGCCAGTCTCCCCCTGCACGCCCCGCCCCGCCCCGCCCGGCGAGCTTCATCGTTCCTTCCCTTCCTGCATGCCCGCAATTTCACTGGTCTTGGAGGTTCACGTGGGTGATACCCTCTACCTAGCCCTCTTTTTATAGCTTGGTCGGCATTTACGTTCCAGGCCTAGGCTTTTTGGCCTAGTCTCAAAATGAGAATCATTACATTTTATATTTACATCTGCTTACTTATTATCTTTCTTCCCTAGTCAACTCTAAATTCCAAAGGAAAGGACCAAGTCTACTTTACTTACCATCCTACAATCCAATTCTGAAATACTGCCCTGTCTCCTAACACAGGTAGTGTCTGTTGAATTAATCACTGAACATGACTGCCTCCCTCAGGTTGACCTCGGCTTAACTGTCAACTGTGCTTTGTCTTACTGGCCTCCATACTTGGTATTTAGAAGAAAGTAATCCTTTTTCCCAGACATTTTCAAAAGAATTTCTGTGGGTTTTTTTATGGAGCAGGATTTTAAATTGCCAGGTAAACTTACCACACCACTTGCTCTCACAATGGGAGCCTTTAAGTCGGGAAAGACGTTCTCCAAGTACCACTTGAAACTTTTGCACTTCAGTTTCTTCCGCAGTTCCCTTTGCTGGGTGAGGTTGCCGGCGTCCAACCTTTGGTCTATGAGGTGGTCGCCGTGGCCATAGAACAGCTCTTTGTATTCATCCAGCCAGACCTCGGCAACCCGCACCAGGTTCCGCTCCACTGTCTGCATGCGGTCTTTGGGGAAGGAATACGGGTTGTCGTTTCTGAAGATGTGACCCACCCGGGAGCAGGGGATAATCTCAATTTCGCCACCACACATCCACACCTGGAACAATTTGATGATAAGCATCAATCACCAAACAACTGTTTACAAATCACGAGCAGTTAACACTGGGTAGGAACCACCCAGCAACTGTCTCTGCTGGTTTGATGTAATACTTTCAAGTTAGAAAACACTTCTGTGATAAAAAATAAAACTCAACAAATTCATTTAATTTTGCATATTGTAATGGTAGACCATATCAAGATTAATAAAGCAGAGATTTTTCTATTCTTAATTGTCAATGTGAACTTTTTTTCTCCCTGTAAAGAAATCTTCTGGAATCCCAATGTATAAAATAATATAAGTTCCTGTTGTGGCTGAAACGGAGAGAGGAATGGATGTCAGTTTATCTTCCCCTTCTCTCACCCTGGGGAAACCCCTAAGCCTGTGGCACACAATGTAAACACCATTCGCCAGGGGGAGCTCCAGAGTCACACCCCTTTTGATGTAGACCATCCAAACCCACAGGAAAAAAGCTGCTTTGCAGATGCGTCTACTCTTAGCCACTGCTAAGGTTTTCTTAGATGCTGATCAGTGATGGTACAGATGATTGATTAAAGCCCCCCAAGGAGCTGCATGGGGGACACAGCTGGCCTGTGGTGGCCTTCTCCAGAGGCCCTCTTTTCCACTTCTGTCATGTGCATTCTCCAAGATCACCCATTACACTTGATTCTAGGACTTCCAACATAGTAGAGAGAGATCCCAGGAGAGTTACTTTGTATCAAGTAGCAATCCCACTGCATTCATACTGAAAGGCAGGAAATCATTTCCCCTTTATTGCAATATAGAAACAGTATTAATGTTATTGTGAAATAATTAATGTTGTGACATGTGAATATTCAATTGTGAGATTAAAATTGAATGGGAAATGAAATGTTTAATATTTAAATAAAATATTTAAATGTTAATTATTATATTAAAATTATTGTGAAATATTTTTAAAACTCTAATAAATTTCACAACAGTCATCAATTCTTCCAAATTTAATCTGAACTATGAAACAATTCATAGACCCTAAATTTCTGTGAAAGTTACACTGTTAATTACATATCTAACTATATTAGTAAAATTAAACCAATGGAAGTGATAAAATGTTAATTGTAAAGAAAATTTGAAGAAAAATTTGGCGATACCTTGAATGAGAGCTCCATATTTTCTCCACCCCAAACATCAAGGCCAGGGTCATAGGTTCCAAGTTCAAAAAAGTAATTTTTATCAATAGAAAATAATCCACCCGCCATGACAGGGCACCTATGTAAAGAAAAGATTGTGTTTTAAACTTGCATCTCCCAGGCGCCCCACGTGTAGTGTGGGTCCTTTGCGCTCTGGTGCCGGAGTTACAGCTACTGAGTGCAGGGAGGTCTTGGGATGGAGTCACAAATACACCTTCAAAACCTGGTGAGTTACCAAGTTCACTGTGGCAGAGCTTGATTGATGTCAGCAAAGATGTGGCCTGAAACGAAGATTCTTTTCCATCCTAACTCTGACACTAACTCTACAGGGATGTTCTTTTTAACAAGATTCACTTACGGTTAAGCTAGAACCAGGCACTGTTGGATTATCTGCTTATGAACTTAAGTTTTGCAAAAACCCCAGGACTGTACATCAGTATTAAGAAACTGCATCACATGCATAGAAGGAAAGAAACTTCCCCACAGTCCAGAGAGAGTGGACTCACACTTTGGAAATCTGTCTTGACTCTGCACTCCACCATTCCATGGAACTGCACCCAACCACAGGCAAATTGGACTAAGGACACATTATGTGGTAAACGAGCTGTGTGGAAAGCACTTCATAAGTATAATCTGATTAAAGTATCAGAACAGTTGATGGTAGCAAGTTCTACTAGTCTTCCTATAAAAATAAAACAGACTCAAGGTAGTTTAAGTTTATAGGGCTAGCAATTTATAAAGCTGAGGTTCAAAGGAGTCTGAATCCAGAGACTTCATAGCTCTTGTTGATCACATTTTAAGCAGATATTAGAAAAAGTATTGATCACTTCTTGTGGTGGTCACCACTCAGCCAGTGGAGAACCTGCTTTGCCTTCAGGATGCCCGGTACCCTTAAGAGTAAATTAATTCCTGACTCACACCTCTTGCCCCTGCCTGCCAGTTATGTACCTAATTCCACCTGTGTCTCACCCATTCCCACCAGATCATCCAGAACGCATTCTCTTCCTAACATTGTGCTGAATACAACTCAACCACTAGACTGAGCCTCAAAATGGGACTCTGAAAAAAACAGAAAGGTTCTTTTAGGTTTAAGATTAGAAAAAGAGTGTTAAATTTAGGCAGGTCTGAGATGGATCTCAAATTGTTCTTTTATTGTCTGTGTATCCCTGAAAAAATTACTTAACTTCTTTACGTCTGGATATCCTCATCTCCATAAATTGAAAACTACCACTTCTAGGGCTAAGGAGAATGTTGAATGCTTGACATTCAGTGCACAATGGATGGTAGAACTTCTTCACTGCCTGGAATATCAATTCTGGAAATATCAAAACAGGCATGAGAGAAGTGATTTACTGAAGGGTAAGTTTGTAAAAGTAGGCTGCCGTGCACAGCTTGTTATCTGGCCTTAGCTTGTTCACCTGTGCCTGCTCAAGTTCTCTCTACAACAGGGAAGAAGTACTCTCCTGCTCTGCCTGGGGCTGGCTGAGCCCTGTCCTCTACCTTTAGGCTCTGGGGAAGTGACAAGAGTCACCCACTTTGGCTTCCAATCCAGCCAGTGCTCTTGAATCTGCCTTCAGTAATAAAGCCCGAAGTTTAATTTATATTGAGCTTCTGTGTCTATTTCTTAATTTATTCACAGAATTTGGCACTTGTCCCATGGAGAGAGTAGGATTTCACTGTGAAAGACAATCTCACCATAGCTATTATTATAGTGATATTTCTATTACTATTATTTACTCTTTCAGTTTTCACCCATGTTTACTTAAGATTATGTGTATTAGTGCAGCACATTCAACTAGTATTTATTTCTTAGGCTACAAATCCTAGAGAACAGGAAGAGTATTTGTGAATTTCTCTAAGCTCATGGCTAAATAATGCTCAATTCTGTATTTAAAAATGAGTTTGGGTAGTGGAAAACTAATTTCTCAGGAAAACTTTTCTTTAGTAATCTATTGGCTAGACATAACTCTTGAGGTTTATAGAATGATTGGGTAGAGCTACTTGATGAAATTTTCTGTGCCTTTATAAAAATCCTCAAGACTACTTCCTAGTCTTACGTTTCACACACTTACCTTATCACATCAGTTTCTTTAATTCTGTTTTTTGCAATGACATCTGGAGGAATTGTTCTCCAGCCAAAGTTCATGGGCCACACAAAGATGCCTCTTTGAAAGTTGTCCACTGTCATGTAGCTAATTTGGTAACAAACAAACAAACAAACACAATAACAAAGTGTGACTTGAGATTATATGCATCTTTATATGTTTCATCAAGTGGCACCATGACTTATTCAGGTACAGAACAGGTACTTATGTAGGTGATTTTAGACCAGCACCATTTCACAGTTTCATTCAGAAAATTTTTGAGGACAATTTATACTGATGGCTAATGGGCTAAATTGCTTGCTTTTAACTTACACTTTAAAAAAGTAATAGTTTGTCTTTTTTTGTGGTACTAGGGACTGAACTGAGGGATTTGGACTGAGATAGATACCAAGTCTGTTTTTAAAAGTGTTTTATTGTCAGACAGGGTTACTAAGTCACCCAGGTGGGCTGAACTTGAGATCCTCCTTCCTCAGTCCCCAGTGTGCTGGGATTACAGGTGTGTGCCAGCATGCTGGGGTGGACCCTGGCCTTTAGAGGAAGAAATAAACAATTTAGAAGCACATATATGTTGGTCGCAAAAGGAAGGACTAAAATTGAGGAAAGTAAGTATCTTAGGATTCAGCTGACTATAAAGGAGGATGAATTTGATGGTGAATAGTGGAACTTATTGGTATTAAGAATTAGCAGTAACCAAATACATTATTGGATAATAGGCTCCACACACAAGATAGCTATCACATATTTTCATTTATTCAAGTGGATAAACAGCTCATTTCTTAGATTTTTCAACCATGTTCCTATTAGGACCAGCATTTTTACTGCTTGTGGGTAAAGATGTACTTAGAAGCACAGAGGAGACATGAATCTTACCTCATATCCTTGTCATTGATGACTTCAATGACCGGACAGGCCACCTTCTTTCTGCTTAAATAAATTCTTTCCAGAAGAGGCTCTAACCAACCAACATTACATTCTATGTGAGAATCTAGGAATGTCAACACATCACCTAGAGGGCACAAAAAAAATTTGAAAACACGATCTACTGAGTGCACGCTTCATGCACAGAGGCTTCGGGGACTATGCCCATGGCCGTAAAGGCAGAGTCTTTTCTTCCTATTGCTTTTCTGGTGCCTGAAATCTCATTCTATAATGATAGGAAGAAATTCTGCACATAGGAATTTTGATGGGTAAGTATCATGCAGGCTTAAAAATAAAGGGAAAACCTCTGATAAACTATTTAGAGTGGGAAGCAAGTCTCTGAAAGGAATATTTAGAATTTGGGTCTCTGCTAAGGTTCCTTTTAAGGAAGGAAGGTACCATTAATTCTGGGGGTGGAGGGTGTGGAAATTTATTTTTTGGAAAACCAGAGAGATACTGAAGTTATAATTTTGGCCACAGAAATGATAAAAACCACTCTATATTATAGACCAAAATAAAGTGGAGGAAGCAGGAGGAGCAAGAGGCATTGTCAAAAGAGTTACTGGAGGGGAGGGGATCGAGGAACCCCGAGCTGTCGCTGAGTCGGCGCAGTAGTATTTGGATATCTGGAAAGAGCTGTGGAGATCAACTGCAAGGGTGAAAATTATTGAACTTACACTTAAAATGACTAAAATGGCAAATTTCATGTTGTGTATATCTTAGTGCAGTTTACAAAAAGTGTTGTGAGAGAAAAAGAAACTGAAAGAAACACTTATTAAAGCATATTTTTTCCTGTGAAAGTAACACTCGCAGCCCTCCGATGAAAACTCAGTAGCATGCACAGTGCACTAAGTGATTTTGTACAAGTGGAGTCTGTGTGTGTGTGTGTGTGTGTGTGTGTGTGTGTGTATGATTAATAAGGTGAATAATCATCCCTGCCCAAAGCCCCTGTAATCTCCCAGGCCCATCGGGTGAATTACGAAATCTCCCCTGGCAGACCTCAGGAGGGAAAGCTTGCCTTCCACCCGGACTTGGTGCCAGCCAAGGCACTGCAGTCACTGCAGGCAGCTGCCGTCAAGGACTCCGGCTCTCAAGAACTCCGGCTTTCACGACCTCCACTGGCCATACTCTCCCATGTAGCTGCGTTCCTAGTCCAGGTGTCTCCCTCCAAAGACCGTTCCCCGGCCTCTGTCAAGGCCACACTACTGGAGATTATATTTTTCTCCACTCTGACTCAGAATTCAGTGCTCCGTCAACAGGGAGATGATCCTGATTCCTGCTTTGCTTTGCTTCACCATGCAGGGCCGTCGCATGAGAGAAGCCAGCCCTTTGTCCTGGTTAACTTCTTACTGTTACTTTTGCTGTGAGCAATTGAGGCTTGGCGGTCAGCTTCACTGTGCCTTACTGTTGTCACTGGTCGCTCCAGCACCTGGCTGCTCAGCTGATGCCGGTTACCACCTATGAAGTGTTTGGTCTATCCCAGACTGTTCCAAGCATTTTCCATGGTTGTCCTTTTTCATCCTTACCACAACCTACAGCGTAAATCTGATTTTTAATCCTCTTAAAAGACAAAGGGGGCTGGGGATTTAACTCAGCGGCACAGCGCCCGCCTGGGGCAAGCCATGAGTTCGGTTTCCGGTACTGGAAAAAAACAGAAAAACAAAACAAAACAAAACAAAACAAAAAAAACAAAGGACAAGGAAAACTGAAAGTGTAGATAAGGACCAAAATGTGTAACAGGTATTGTGAAACAGGAAGAAAATGTCCAAATGGGAAGGGGAACTAAGGAGTGGGGAGAGGAAAAGAAAGGAAGGGAGAGGAAAAAAATGATGAGAAAAGAAGGAAAAGATGGAAACAATGCTTTGGTAAATGAGGAGGGGAAGAGGGCTGAAGGGAGGGGACTGGAACGGGCAAAAGGAATCAAGTTATATCATGTACAGGTACAGATTCGCTATGATGAATGTGATCATTACGTAGGCCTACAATGTACCATTAAACTTAATTTTAAAAAAAGGAAACCGAAGAACAAAGAATTACAGTAACTTTTCCAAGGTTGCCTGGCTACTTGGTGGCGGTGTCATATTAGAAAAAGTGTGGCTAATCCCATAGCTTATGTTCTTTGAATATACAAGAACGAAGCAGAATTGTGAGTACAGGAAGGCTTAAAAAAAGGCAAGCATAATTACCAGGGTGATGTGTCATGATTCATGAAATCTATAAACTGTCTCTCGGTCAGTGAAATTCAGCACCATATTACTTATCTGGTCATCAGGGGAATTTTTGCATGAGGATAAAGACCCAAACTTTACCCAAGGTTTAGGTGAGGAGTTCTTGGAAAGTCTCTTTCGACAGAAATAACTGTGCTAGGCAGAAACTTCCCTCTTGAAGATACTGGTTACATCTCCTGATCATGCTGGGGGCACAATTTTTAGGGGGGCAGAGCTTTTCTGGTAATGAAAGGTTATTGCCCCTGTTCTGTTCTCTGTGTATGTATACTCCCCAAATTCACATGAAACCTAACTCCCAGGGTAATGGTATTTAAGAGGTGAGGCCTTTGAAGATGATTAGATTAGGAAGGTGGTGTCCTCCTGAATAGAATTGGTGCCCTTAAAAAGAGGTTCAAGGGAGCTTGTTAGCCACTTTTGGCCTCCCGGCACGTGAAGATATAACAAGATGCCTTCTTTTTTCTTTCTTTCTTTTTTTTTTTTCAGTAATGGGGACTGAATCCAGGACCTTTGCTCTGAGCTATAGTCCCAGCTCTTTTTTAGTTTTTAATTTGAGATCTGTTCTTGCTAAGCCGTAAAGCTGCCCAGCTTAGATTCCAATTTGTGTTCCTCTTGCCTCAGCCTCCCAGGTGCTGGGATTATGTGTGTGTCCCACCACTCCCAGCTCAGGGTGTCATTTTTCAAGCAAAGAGTATGTCTTTTCAGACACTGAATCTGTGTAGCTGCTTGATCTTGAACTTCCTAGCTTCCAGAACTATCAGTAATAAGTGTACAGTACTTAAAAAATTACCCAGTCTGAGGTACTTTGCTACAGCAGCCTGAATAGACTAATTTATCCACTAGCATGTCCTCTTGCACGGGCCTCTCTGCCATGGTGGGAAATTTCACAGAAACATGCAAATGTAGAGGGCATGTACATGTGGCTTGTGAAAGTCACTTGGGTAATGGCACAGAGTCTGTTAAATGGTCTTCTTTCTCTCAGCACTCCTACTTGTGGTCCATTCAGACTCAGGGTTTAAAAAGAGCATTTTCTATTGTACCACCTGCCCCGACCCCATAGAAGTCTTACTGGATCAAAGGAGCTTGATCAATTTCCTCAGTCCTCAGTGACAGCTAGGACTGTGTGCATTCACTGTTGCTTAGCCCAGAAGTTCACAAAGATTCTCATTCATTTGGTGCCAGGACCTGAAGGAACCCACATTTACCCCAAACATAGTCTAGAATTTTATATTGTTTTGTTGGGGGAGGAGTGCTGTATGCTGAAATGCCAGTGCTCTAATCCCAGTCATTTTACTTCCAAAGGTCTTAGGACTCTGTTAGATAAAAAGGAGGTCTGGGTACCGCTGTCTCTCGGCAGGATTTCTCCTTGTGGTGGACACTGTACTCACTGTGGCTGATGCCGAGACGGGGAGAGAACCAGTGGAATTAGGACAGTGCTGAAGTCACACACAGCCACCTTCACCCTGACTCTACTCTTCCTGGCAAATTACTGCACTTCATTAAGGTCTGTCTTTGGTGGATATTTCTAAGATCTCTCTAATACCTAAATCTCTAATCAACTGATAGTATTGTTTACTTTTTTAAAATAAATGTTTAAACTCAAGCTCAGAATAGTTAATCTGATCTTACATGGAAATTGGCAGGATTCTCTGTTTCCTAGGACTAGATTCCAGTATTGTTGGATTGTTCGCACACGGGTTTCATTGTAATTCCATATTTTTCATTTTTGCTAACCCAGTGCTGCTCAGCGTGCCAAACAGCTTTGCTCCTCGCTGGGCTTGGACTCCCTATTTACATTTAGTTGGCCAGCGTGTGATATTGCTGCCAGCACCAATAAGCGCTGGAACCATGTGCATTTTGCTTGCCACTTTATATTACGTAATGGCGTAGTGACACTGAAACACTTGTGTGACCGGTAGCAGAAACAAGCTGCAGAAATTTACAGGATGCCTCCTTGTGCTTCACAGGAAACCTTCGAGTTGGTCAGGAGTTAGTTCTTACTTGTTATATGGCCACTGAACACAGTTAACTGAGTCTTTGGAATGCTCACAGGAAAGGGAAGAATTTTTCTAAAGGATTTTTCATGAGGGAAATTAATGAGAATCTGACCTTCATTCTGACTCCCACTGGTGAATCTGCCCTTCTGCACATAGCGAACAATTTTTACCGATCCGTTGCTCACAATGTTTGAAATCTACTTGGGCCTCTGACCCCCTCATTCTTAGCAAGCAACTGATAGGCCCGACCTTTTTCCCTCAGTCAGGTGAAGAACCTAACATGCCATGAAGATTGAATACATAGTGGATACTGCATATGGTAATGTAGCTTACTGATGGTCACTGATCATTTTGTAAATGACATCTTCAGATTTTCAGAGGGGCTGATATTAATCTGAGATGGAAATGGACTGCTTTCCTTTGTCTCCTGTATGTCCTTGGATCTGATCTCATCCTTACCTGTTGCCCTCCTCCCTTAACATCTCAGAGAACAGTAGCTGCCAAGGCCTGCCGAGTCTGCGCTCGGTTTCTTCTCTGTCTGTTTGCGTTCCAGAGAATATTTCTGTCTTTTACCTTTGCCTGCCTCTGGTTCACGGAACTCTTCAGGCCCTGCACTGCCTCTAGTCTAGCTCTTGTGAAGGCTGAGGAGTGCCCTGCAGAGTTTTAGCAGACTCATACCCAGACCTGCCCTGTTCAAAGCCAGTTCCTGAACTACAGCCTCCCCTAAAGCTGGTACTGGATCCTGACAACTTTTGAATTGTCCACTGGGGAAGGACACATTTCAGGAGGGTTGGATGTATCTTTAGTACATCCCAGGATGTAACAGGTGAGGGTGTTTCTACTCCATCATGCCCTTCATGTGTCCTTTTTTCCCCATACTTTCAAGCATTGAGTCTTCTATAGTAGTCATCAAACTATGGGCCAGCTGCACTGCTGTCTATAGGAGATAGAAGCAGGAATTGAGAATGAATATTCTGAAACTTTAGAGTGACTTTCCAAAGGAAATTATTAATTTATTGGTTTTTTTCTTACCAAGTTATATAAAGAGTCGTCCCTTAGTATGCAGGGTGCATTGGCTTTAGGACTCTGTGTGGGCACCAAATCCTTGCTGCTTAAGTCGCTCACATAAAAATGGATAGTATCTGCATATAGCCTATGCAAGTCGTCCCATATCCTTTAAAAATCTCTTATAATACAATATATATAAATACAACTGCTATGTAAATAGTTATACCATATTGCTTAGGGAATTACAACAAGAAAAAGTTCATATATGTTCAGTGCTGATGTAATTTTTGCTTTGAATTTTTTTCAACCCAAACTTGGCTGAAACCATGGATGCAGAACCCATAGACATGGAGGGCTGGCTGTGTACTAAGTAGATATAATTTTCTTACCTATTTGTTCATTTATTTTAAATAGGAATTACAATTTACTACAGTTTACAAAGAGGCAGGGCCACAAAAATTGTAGATTAGAAAGTTCTTTTCAGATAGGCTGAGAAGCATCTCTCCACTAGGCAGTGACAATCAGTTAGGATACAGCTACGGAGGGGTTTTTTAGGCTGAGATGTGTGACCCTTTAGTGAATTATCCAAACAATTCGGTGAGCCTGTCCAGAATCCCAAAACATTAATGATGTATAAAAGAAGATACTAGAGTCTGTTGCACATGTTATTTAATGAGCTGGCTTCTGGAGTTGTGTGTGTAAACACGTACTAGAATGTGATATAAAATTTGTTTCTTAACACGAGTCATTGTCAAAACAATTTGAAAGTTACTGCACCAAAACTGAGCTCATGCTATCAAGGGCATTAAAGAATACCTGAGAAACAAATTTACATTTTTCATTTTGATCTGTTGTTAAATTCAAATAAATTATTTTATGGGTGCGACTATAACTAACTGCAAATGTTTTTATCAAGTTTTTCTGAAGACAGGCTCCCATAGGGTCTCACAGTTCAGACTACTCTGGTGGTCATTGCTAACAGACTTTGTACTCTGTAGGCAGAGAGAAATCTTTATTATAAACAGTTTTGGCCTTGGGTTCATCAGCTATCTCTACAGGAATGTCTAATTATCATCTCAAACTTACATGGACAAAATCAGAACTACAATCCCAAACCCATCTCTCCAGTTGTGACCCATCACCCAGCAAGATGCTCAGGTTCCCACCCCGGGGTCTGTTTTTGGTCTCTCTCATTCCTGCTCTCTTCACATCTTATTTCATGACAAGTCCTACAGGCTCAAGGTTAATAGCGTATTGTAAATTGGACAGCTTCCCCTGGCTTCCTGGTACCTCCCCGATCCTGGACAATTGTAAGAATGTCCTAACTGATTTCTTCACTTTTCTCATCTCCTTTCTATATGTGGTTACCAGAATAAGTTTTTAAAATGTAAATCAGACCACTTCACTCTCCTGTGTTATATCCTTCATTAGTTTCACATTATATTAAAAATGATATCTACACGCCTTAAGTGAGGCATACAACTGTATAAAAAATCTCCATTGTCTGTCCAGATAAATATTATAACACTTTCAGTGGTCAGTACCCAATAGCCATAATGAATCTTTTCTCTTTACTTTGAATATACCGAACCTATTTCTGCACTAGGATATTTGCATTTACTGTATGACTTGAGAAATTCTTTACCCATATCTCAGCTCAAAAGTTATCTAAGCTATTTCTTGTGCATCATTCATAGCTAATTACTCTTCAAAGGAAATTAAGCATGGAGTGCCATTTAATTTTTCCAAATGCAGGCTCACATAAAGAATCTTAGCTATCACAGCAGGCATTTTTGGTGTGATGAATTTGTTGCTCACTTAAAATTTCCACTACAAGAAGAAGATTGTTAACAAAGCAAGGAAAGGTGTTCTGAATTGAAGGTCAAGTTGCAACAAGGTGAATCTCCAGTGAGCAGACAATTTACCAGAACATGCTTGAGCCAAAGTGGGTGAAGGTCAGCAATGCTAGGACTTCTGGTGGCAGAGTGAGTGTTACATGCCCTGAGGCAGCAAAATGTAGTGGCTAAGAGCAAACTCTGGAGCCAAAGAGTTTAGGGTACCAAGGGGGGCTTTACCACTGCCTAGCTGAGAGGACTCAGGTGGGTCCTAACCTCTCTATGCTTCTGTATTCTTATCTATAAATGTGGAAATGATTGTACTTGTCTCCTGCACTTATGGTGAGGGTCAAATCATAGGGTTAAGAAGAGAAACAGGGAAGGAGAGAGACAGGGACAGGGATATTGCTTTATTACAAATAAATGCTAGCTTAAAAAAAGTAGAAAGAATGGTAGAAAAACAGTTTTTTTTAGTCCCCAGTATGATAATTGATTTGAGCAAACATTATTAGTGGATGCTGAGCTACTGGGTGCAATGTGAAGAAATTGATGTATTCTTCTGCATTAAAGTACTAACCAACAAAACACTTTCTACTACCACTGAAAAGATCTGGCTGTCAAGATATTAACTAAATTTTCAGTATTACTAACAAAGAGATAGCCTGATATTATGCACCTCTTGATATGAAGCAATAAGAAGTATACAATTCTTATCATTTATGTAGTGGATTCTATATATTGCTCATACCAAAAATATCTGTCCTCTAAATAATGCAAGGAAACAGAAAATTTTAGAACATGACAATTGAACCAAACAAATGGTCTGGATTATTAAATAAGGCAAAGATGCAATAATATGCTAACACAGTATATGGAGTTAACTATTCTAGATTGAAAGAATAAGGAGATAAAACAATTAATCAAGCACATTAATTTAATTAGATACTTACCTTTAAAAATCATTTTGGGAAAAATTAGAAAATTTGAAAAGAATGTTTACAGGTTTTACTTAGGTATGTGAGTTATGTTTATTTAACAGAATATTCCCATTCTTCAGTTATGCTTGTTAAACACAGAAGTATTGTGCTATAATATCTGTACATTTATTTTTAAAGGTTCAGAAAAAAGTGTGTCAAATATGTGTGTGTCTGTATATATATGTGATGAGGCACATATTTCAAAAGGTTCAACATTAGAATTAACTGATGCATAGGTGGCTGTTCATTGTGTTATTCTTTCAAATTTCCTTTATGCTTGAAAAACATTTTAATTTAAAGGAAAATGTAGTGAAAACAAATAATGAGAGTAGCTTCTTACCTGTTGCATTCTGTGCTCCGGCCAGCCTGGCTCTTATTAAGCCGTGTCTCTCTTTAAGGCGAAGAATCCGGACTTTTGGAAACTGAGACATATATTTGTCCAAATTATCTTTTAGGTAGTCTATAAGAATAAACGAAGAAACACTTTAATTAACTGGGTCTGTCCCAGAAGTGTTTCTATAATGTGAAATTCCAAAAACTACGATATTATTTCAGTTCGCTAAATTTTATACCTTGGGTCATAATTTTATTACCTGAAATTAGAAATTATTTTAGAAATATTTTATCTGGGTTCAATATTCTAAGCTCCTTCACTTCTCCAATCCTAGGGGAGAGGCTAATCAAGGTGTGCAAATGGGAAAACTTGGAAAAGAGGCTGGTACAACGATGGTTGGTTAAGATCTCTGTCATTCCTTGCTCTGGCATCCCCTCAGTCCGACGTTTCAGCTCTTTTCACACAGTCACACGGCAATGCAGCTAAAAGAGAATTTGGGGGGCTTAAGGGTATATTTCTATGGCTTTCACTCACTTCTGGGTATAATTAAGCTGTTATCATCTCTTCTAAGTGGGAATGGCTTCTAGGAATATTTTGTGGTGCTCTCTCTCCTATGAATTTTATGCTATATTTCTTTAAAAGGACCCTGAAAATTATACAAGTTGCAGGTCCTACAAGATATGGATCTGCCTCTCCTTAAGGGACCTTTTTCCTGGTTAGTAATTGAATACTATATCTGTTTATGTTTTCAAAGCCACATCTTAAAGTTTTCAGTTAGTTTTCTTCTGGCGTTCCACTGTTTCTTGAACTCAGCGTAATTATAGAAGGAATTCTGAAGCTAAAGAAATCACTCAGATCACCACGGTCACAGATAAAGATTAAGCTGCTCTAGTAATGTTGCCATCCTCCTACTATTTTCTAAAATTAAATGCAATGGGTTACATTTTGGAAATATGTAACATGGTCATCACTGGCCCTGTGAAGATGCCTATATATAGAAATTATTAGACAACCTAAATAGTGAGATTCTTTATGTAGTAAACAAAGATCAACCTAAAAATCATGGTGGACTCTGATTTTGAACTCTGTTGAAACCATACTTCTCTGGTTCCCTTGGAAATTTGTCTTCTCCACACTTAATCAAAGGTACAATTGTCCTTGCTGTTGAGGAAGAAGCTATAGGTCTTACATTCTGTTGCTCTCTTCAGAGCTTAAATCCCTTATTACAGTTGGAAAAGTATTCTATTAATTGTGGGTCATTTATTTATTAGACTCTGTGAAAAAGACATATGGAATTGTAGGGAATACTGTCTGGACTCAGGTACATCAAAATTCCCATCTGCAAGGAGCTGTCATTATCAAAGTGACTCCTACATGGCAAGAAAGTCACAGCTAAGTGGAAGCAGAAGACAACTAGTTGGATAAGGCTTCAGACAATTTGAATTTCCCATAGATAGTTAGGCTCATGCCTTAAGACTGCATTTCAAAATGTTTGTGCTTCATCAAATTTCATATATTTTTACCATGCAAACTACGATTGTCTTGTGGCAAAGTTTGACTTTTGGGAAGAAAGCCTGAGCAGTTTTCTTACCTTTGGTGCTGAAGTCATCCACCAGCAGAATCTCCTTGATGAGGTGTGCGGGAGAGCGATTGAGAACACTGTGAACAGACCTCAGGAGAGTGGACCACACCTCATCTACAAAGCACATGATGATACTGGTGGTTGGGAGCTGATTGTGAACTAGCTGCTCTGCACACCTGGGCCAAAATGTGAGTGGAGCACAAGAGATATGTCATGAGGTCCACAACATGGTTTGAAATATCACAAAGTGTCACTGTACTCACACACACACACACACACACTCTGTCATCTACCTGTTTGTCTTTTCTGCTTGCCTCTCTCCCTCTGTCTCTCACATAACCAGAAATGGTAGTTACTAAAAAGACTAACAGTGCTGGATAGGGGCTGGGGATTTAGCTCAGCGGCAAAAGCGCCTGCCTGGCAAGTGCAAGGTCGTGAGTTCAGTTCCCGGTACTGGAGAAAAACCAAAAAAAAAAAAAAAAAGAAAGAAAGAAACTAACATCTTTACTTTGAAGATCTAAAAACATCATATCACAGTGATATATGTGCACCTATGTTCATAGCAGCACAATTTGTAATTGCTAAAATGTGAAAGCAACCCAAATGTCCATCCACCGAGAATTGGATAAGAAAATTGTGGTACTTTTATATAATGGAATATTACTCAGCTGTAAAGAAAGATAAACTCGAGGCCTTTATATTTAAATGGTCACAACTAGAGACCATACTCATAAGTGAAATAAATCAAACATACATGTGCAAGCACCGCATTGTGTCACTAGTGTAAAACTTGAAAGAGTTAATTTAAACTCGGAGGTATGACAGACACTGTGAAATGATAGGAAACCAATGAAGAGTAAAGGGCTTCTGGGATGCGGGAAAAGAGAAGGGAAAGAAGGAGAAATTTTGTATGTATGTATATACAGGATAGTTAACATGGTTGTTCTTCTGTCTTCTATTTCTATGCTGAAAGAAACTGTCAATGAGTCTTTGGTTGACCAGTATTGCATGTTTATATCTGTTTTCACGAGAAGCCACTTTGAAGATATCAATATGTAATACAACCACCATTGTTAATTCCCTACCACTTTGTTTGTAACTCTGTGTTGTCTGTATTGTGCTTGTGATATGTTGTAAAATGTTGTATGTCTGTTAATGTTTCCCTCCTTTTATCTTTAAAATTAAAAAAAAAGAAAGAAAAAAAGAAAAAAGACTAACAGTGCTGGATAAAAGTGCTTCCATTGGAGACATCATACTGCAGCCTAAGGGCTGGGACTTTACAGGTGATCAATCAGAATCCATTTCAATCCAACCACCAAGATTTCTCAGATCTTTAACACTTTTCTGTATTTTTCTGTGCCTCAGTTTCTCATCTACATTATGAAGTGTGGTTCATTCAGAGTTCACAGTTAACCCACTGAAAATGTCCAGTGTAGTTCTGACTCAGGAATTCATTCAATGGTAGCTATTGCTGTCCTTGTTAAATTAGCAGAAGAGAGTATTCTAAGTTACTCAATGTTACTAAGTAACTGATGGTTGCTCTCATAACTGGTCCCTGGCGTGTGCCAAAAGAGACATCCTTTCTTCTACTCTGCATGTGTATGCATTTACGGCACATTGTGGATGGGCCAAGTAATGAAACGCTCTCCAGCCTCCCTCCCTCCTGGAGGCTCCCATTGAGACTGTGCTGCAGAGTAGACACAGCGGAAGTCATTTTGCTGACAGAGAAATGAGAGCAAAGCTAAGTGGGAGGCAGGGTCCAGAGGGGTCGAAGTGGGGCTTGGGTTTTCCTTTGCTCTGCAGTTCATACTCACAGCAGGCATTCCTCTATGCTGTGCCTGTGTAGCCGCTCCCACGGCAATGCCAGTGGAAGCTCACAGAGTACACCTTATGCTGCTAACACAGTAGAATAATAAAAATACTATAAACATTCTGCCTTATTTTAATTTAAACTTCAAGTCACTGGCATCTTACAGATTACTGATTAAAACCATAGAGAGACTAGTTCATGATTAAACTTTCAGTAAATGGAAGAGCTGCGACTGAAACTACAGCCCAGTCTGACTCCAGAAGTAACCACTCAGGACCTCTTAAAGCCACAAGAATAAAAACAGCTGACGGTGGATGTGGCATTTGTGAGCTCTGCTACTTCTGTCAAATAACGTGGCATATTTTGCTTACTCAACAATTAAAACAGGTAAGAGTTAAAACCGTAGTGAAAAAAATCACATAAGCATGGCACTTTAAGTACAGTTGGCAAAGTGCTGTTGTGTACATGAGTTAATTCAATATTCATAACGATTACCTGAGAGACTTATTATCATACACTTTCTCAAATAGAGCAAAACAAGGTATGAGATGTTAAACAACTTACCCAATATCATTTACCTAGCAAGACGGTATAAGAGCATGTGATAAGTACAGTGTGTATTCCATTGTTCTATGGGGATTTTCTGATTATGAGTTTTGGAATCAGGTAAATATGTAGTCAAATGTCAGTTTTCTCTAATTGCTGGTTTGGAGAATTTGTGTAACTTCTTTGAACATTGATTTGCCAACTATGAAGCAGATCTTGTAAAACAAAATTGATATTTTATATAAAGTTCATCTAATATATATCTGACACATAGCATATATCTAAGAAATGGGAGGCAAATCCAGCTATGCTCTGTAATTTCAATATTTCTGAAATAGTTAATTATCACAATACATGGTAAAGGCTTGGAAAACATATGTATCCAATCTTCAACCCCTGCAAATCAATTCAGAAATAAGACTAGAGAATTTGTGTCTTAAAAAACAAAACAAAACCAAGAAAAAAAGATGACTCACAAGTCACTGATAGGCCTATTTGAGAACATTAGGTCTAAGGTAAAATTAATTTATTTTTCTTATTATTTATGACTAATCTTTAAAAAATAAATTGAGGACAGATATGAACATGTCCTGCTTTTTAAAGTAATTTAAAAGTCAAAATAAATATGTAGTGATCAGGTATGTAATGATAACATAAAAGGTTGCTAATCTAATGTCATTCTACGCAAAACATATATGCATTGGCATTTCTGAATATGAGATATTATCGAATTTACTGAGGGACTGTAGTAATTTCATGTGGCTATGTAAGGGATTATTAAAAATGTTGCTTAAAGTCCTTTCCTCCATTTTATATCCCTTCCCTCTCACATTTTACTATGAACAGAAAGAAGATACCAGGGCATACCTTTAACATTTTGCTTAGTATTCTCCTTAGCTAAATATGCAAGTTCTTCATTTGCAAATTCTGCTACTTTTCACAACACAATAGGACATAATTAGTTAAGCTTGCTGTCACTATTAACACACATTTCTTTTCATCCAGTTCCTAGTAAAGTGCCCTATATCACCTTATGAACCTTCACAAGAAGCACTTACAGTGTTCATATTTATATAACATTCTTTTATAGCAACATGCATATTGGTATTAATTATGGAAGCTTTTCTATTGTGTGTCTAATTCCCTTCTGTGCCATCTCCAGCAGAAACTGTAGTATCCATATTTCCAGCAACAGTCTCTACATGATTGACTTCTTCCATTATGCTCCTCAAAATTCTTCCACTGTCTATTATCTCATATTCAATTATGGATTTTGTCACATAAGATAATATCCACTCTTTTGCTATGTGAGGTAAGAGTCAAAGGTTCTGGAAATTAGAAAGTAAATATATTTTTGAGGGACATTTCTACTAGTTTTCCTCAAGAATTTAGTAAGTTAAAGTGTGAAATATGCCTTTTTGAGAGAAGACATATGTGTTATTTCTTTGAAATTGTGGTTATCCTCCACCACCCTTCAGCCCAAAGTAGATTTACTTAGAATTTTTCAAACTGTTAAACTAGTCGCTTTTTCTCTTTTCTTTTTCTTTCCTTTTCTTTATTACATTTTCGAGTTTCTTTGAAGTTTATTAGTTTATACATTGAAATTTATGAAAGTGCTAATTAATAATATCAAATTATGACACAATATTGACACATAATTTTAGAAAAGAAAAATAAATAGCTAAGAGTATAAATGTGAAGATTGCTGAGTATTAAATGGAAAAATTGTATTTGGTTATATGATACTCAGCGTTTGCAGGACAATTTTGGAAGTAGACAAACTAACTCTTAAATTTCTTTCATAAGCCAAGAAATCTCTAATGTTAAAGTCCAATTCTCAGAGTCTTTGGTGGTGAACATCAAAGAGCAGAGTGATGAGAGTAGCACTTCCTGAGGAGGCAGGGGCAGGCTAGAGAACAATGAATGAGGATATTGGAGACCACTACAAAGTGGCCCTGAGCAGAATTCAATTTTAACCAATTGGTTTTCAATGTTTACTTGTGGGTTGTCTGAAGCTTAGGCATCTTGTCTGGAGATGAGCAGTGGACTCATAGTAAATGAACCTCTCTGAGTTACTGGTCACTGCTGAGGCCTGTATTGGCCTGTGAAGCTATGATGCCTCAAAGGACAAGATAAGGCCACAGCTGAGGATGTCTGACTCCAACTGCAATTAACTAAAAGGAGACGATAGCTGTAGTCTCCACACACCTGAAATAAATACCAGCCTAAAGATAAGGCAGTTCTCCTGATTGACATAATTTACTACTTGAGAAAATATTTTCCAAGGTCCTGCTAGATTCCTGCATTTTCTTGAGTATCCTCCTCTTTTGTTTGAAAACCTAATAAATATGGGTTGTTCAGAGAAGTCTTTGTCTTAACCCAGAGATCTCAAATTCCGTAAGAGAGTTAGACCTTCCTGGAGCCCTATAATCATTTAAATTGTCTCCTTTATTTAAGCCTTTGCCGTCTACTCATTTGGGAGATTGTGAGTCTAATCAGCCTGCAATAACTAAGGGTTATTAGCCTGATATATTGAGCCAAAGGTAGGTATAGAAATGGAAAGCATTTTGCATCTTATTTTAGGAAAAAAACAAGAAAGGAAGAACACTGGCAGGAAGATAGGTGGACTTGAAGGCAAGTTTGTTATCCCTGTCCCTTCCTTCTCTGTAATAGAAAGGGACAGAATCGTATTTCTGAGCTTCAGGGAAAGGGTAAATAGAATTGAGAGGGAAAAAGAAAATGATAAGATAATTAATGGAGCAAGATCTGTCCCATTGATTCACATGACAGTGGCAGTTGCTACAATGAACAGTCTAGTCT